TCTTCAACTCCGTAGTGCGCGTTTTTCACGCAGTTGCTCTGTCCGCGGTATACGATTTAATGGTTACGGCGCTGTACCATCCGCAAACTATCGGACTGCGTATTGAAGACAATCCGATTGATCATCTCTCTTCCGACGAGTTGGCCAGCGGTCGAGTTTTGGGAACAGTTAAGTCCAGCGGCTGACCAATCGACCATAGGAACACGCGACGCACAGACCGGTCACTGGCGCAATCTGATTTATCATTACGAATCGCGTTACACGTTTGTGTTGATCAGTGCGGTTCCACGTGTACACCCAACATACGGTTTGGAATTTTGCGATTTTTTTTTAAATTTCATTTTAAATAGGCATTATTAAGACGCACTACCGGAGTAAAATTCGACTATTTATAATGGAAGATATTTCACCAGTCACTAGGAACCCTTCTGGAAAAGTAAATGTTTATATTAAATAATATTATGCAAACAGTGTTTTTTTGAAAATGTTTGTTTTTTTACGCTTTAATTTTCGGCGATGTCAGCAATTGGCCATCGTACATCTTTTTTTCGACCGTATTACTTGTTTCTTATATAAAATACAAAACCTCGCCATCAGATTGTACTATTCGAAACGTTCTATATAGCAGACATATTAAAAAAAAAAAAATTGTCCCACGCCAAATGCCTATTACATTGCTAATTCTTCGTATTTTTTTTTTTTTTTAAGTTCGTCAGTACTCGACAAAAGGAAATAATTATCGATTATTACAAAAATTTAATGTTGGATCAACAGAACGTGGAAAAGAGTCAAAGGATCAAGTATAAGGACATCATCAAAACAATCTCAAAGAAGAGCGGTGTTGGACAGAAAACAGTGGAACGCACACTGGCGGAATTCAGAACTAAAGGCACAGTTTCATCGCCGAATAAAAAAAGAAATAGAAAAACGGTTATAGACAAAACGGACGGCTTTGAACAAAACGCCATTAGGCGGAAAGTTCATAGTTTTTGGTTGAATCGGGAAATACCGACGTTCAATAAAATCGCAGTAGCCGTAAACCAGGACGAGCATTTACCGAATTTTTCGAAAACGTCCTTGCGCAGAATTTTAAAACACCTCGGTTTTACATATTCAAAGATAAAACGGAACAGTGCACTCGTCGAACGGAACGGCATCGTGTGCTGGCGTCGGAACTATTTGGAATCGATAAAAATGCACAGGCTGAGCGGTAGACCAACATACTATCTTGACAAAACCTGGGTCGACGCCGCAACGATAAATTCGCCCGCGGACACGTCCCTCCGACGAGGACCCGCTACCGGACGGAAAGAACCGCCGGGGAAGGGCGAACGATTGATCGCGTTGCACATCGGGTCGTCCGACGGGTTCGTCCCTGGAGGTTTATTATGTTTCGAGCCGGAGAAAAACGCGTCGGGCCACCGTGCCGAGATGAACGGTAACGCGTTTCACGACTGGTTCATCGGAATCCTACCGTCGCTGAGAGAGAACGCCGTAATCGTAATGGACAACGCGTTGTACAGTTCTGTAGAGATGAACCCATTTCCAACCGCATCTTGGAAAAAGCAAAACATCATAGACTGGTTAAAGAACAGAGGTGAAGTACCGACTGGGCCGTCATTGGTCAAGGCTCAGCTTTTAGCGCTCGCCGACAAGTTTAAACCGCCGCGCGACAAGTGCGCGATAGACGAAGTGGCTAGAGAAAACAACAAAACAGTCCTGCGGTTGCCTCCTCACCACCGTGAGCTGAACCCGTTCGAGCTCGCGTGGTCCTGGATAAAACGTTACGTGCGCGCGAACGGCACGGCGTCCGAGTCGCGGGACGCGCGCGATTTATTAACGCGTGCCGTGGCACGCGTGACCGGCGAAATGTGGACGGATTTCGTCGGCCGCGTTATGAAGGAAGAGGACAAACTGCGGACAATCGATCATCTGTCTGACGAAATTCTGGCCGCGTAGACGGGAGAGCGCGGCGGCGCGGTCACGGGCGACACCACTTCGGAGTCCGGCGGCGAAAGCGTTTGAATTTCATTTGTCTGTGCGTGTTTTCCAATAATAAACGACCAGCGCGCGCCGAAACACGGCGATACATTTATATCGTGGCGGTTTTGATAACGGTGGGGGGAGGGGTGGTGGTGGAGGGGAAATAGAAAATCAATAATCGAAAATAAACTATAGACGTGCTTATCGCGTACCGACAACCGGCCGTTATCAGTAATGGTTGGTCGCGGGGATTCGCGAGCCGAATCGTTGCGACGCGCGCGGCGGTCGCACTGTCCCGCGCCACCGAGTGCGGCGGTAAAACGTATCGCGGCACGTGATTAAATTTATAACCGCGATACAAGATGGAACGTTGTCGATACTGCCGAGCCCCGGACAGGCGGGCCGTGCCGGGACCGTCTTCCGGTGGTTTGTGCCCTTCCGTTTCTAAAACCGGTAGTGAGTTTTTCGGTTCGAATTCGATTTACCGGGGTTTCGTAACGATAACGGGTAACGTTGGGTTCCGTTCGGGTGTTTCGGAACAAACGTGAATTTGAAACAAAGCACTCGTACGTTGTGTAATACGTTGTCCATGTGTACAATCCATGCGATTTTCGGACGTTGATAAAAACAACGAGTGGTTACCACAGTCAGCGGCGCAACCGGGGGGTGTGGAGCGGGAGGAGGTGGCTGGGGGTCCCGGACCCCCTATCACGGACAGTGTTACGCGTCTATGTGACAACGCGGCGAACAATTTTTAATAGAAAAACAATCGGGAAATCGGGACGGTTCGGCCGCCGTGATAACGAAAATATGTCCGATAAGAAAAAAATAATCACCCGTGTATCTCGGATCGAGATATCGTCGTTGCAGACGATTACCTTCTACAGTATTTTTCAATAGACCGTGGTAGGTAACATGAACCACGACCGAAGATAGTAACATCAGCTAAGATTATTATTATTATTATTGTTCTTCTCTTGGGTTTATCGGGCCCTTAGGACCATCCCGTCCCGCAACCGAGCTCCCTCCAATATTCTCCGTCTAACGCTGGATTCCTCCAGTTAGACCCTTCTCCCAAACGTTCCACATCTTTATTTACAACACGTCTTTCCCTACTGGATTCTGCTCCATAACTGCACGTATCATCGTATTTTGGTTTCTACAAGCATGTCCAGCCCATCGTAGTCTTCTCCTCCCGACGACTTCTAATACGTCCAAATCACTAAACAATATTTCCAGCTCTGCATTTTCCCTTTTCCGCTCCCCCTTCACCCTATCCTTGACTGGACTATTAAGATTTATCGCTCTACGGTTTGATTATGTGTACACGATTAAAGATATACCGGTTGCCCAACGGGCTAGTGTGTCATATAAGCGCGGTTTAAGATATCTGATTCGTGGTCATAAGCGATAATCGCGTAGCAATAATTGAAATCGCCCACGGGAACGTCAGGAACGGCTGCTGCTCGACCAACCGAGTGCGCTCTCTATCCGTGGAAAAAAAAATGTTATAACTCGAATTACAATATTTCGCATTTACAAACATTTTTTTTTTTTTCAAATTACGACAGGTTTATCAATGGTAATCGGTCCATTACGAAATCAGTGACCAACACCCGCTGAAGTAATTAACGGTTTAAGCTGTTGGTATTAATTTTATAAACTGTTGGGCACCGATCGTATTTGCACTATCTGTCGCAGCAGTGTGCGCGTGTATCTTGATTTTACGTTATAATAAAGTCGCCACGTAAACGTAATTCCACGGACCCGTCCGCCCTTGTCGAATCGTTTAGGCGTGTTTATATTTCGATATTTCATCGAGCGATACGCAATCTGCACACGTCGGTTATTGGTGTCGCGAGCGAATCGGCAAAAGTGCCCGCCGCCGCTCGTCGCGGTACTCCGGGCGGGCGGAGTCCTAGCGCTGCTAAAGACGGTCGCCCGTTGGAAAGTTCCCGGCTGCGCCGCCGACCGCGGTATAAACGCGTGTACGGGAATCGCGTCGCGATTGTTTCTCGTATCGGCGAATCGAAACTTCGCGCCAGCCGAACAGAACGCCGCGGCGTACACCGGGTGCACACCGTAACGGCGAAAACGATGTTTCGCGGTCAGTATTCACGTCGGACACCGAGTCGTTTTTCGTCCGTCGCCAATCCGAGACGGTGCTCGACCGGACGTTCCGTTGCCGCGTGATTCGCGCGCGCGACGGGAACGCTCGAGAACATCGCCGCGTTGGTAAAAAAATAACGGCGATTTCGACCGAAGCCGGACCGTCGGACGCGACGTCATCGCGCGTGCAAACACCGTGTGCCGGTTTCGCACGCGCCCGTTTTCCTCGACACCTCCCCCCCCCTCCTCACCGTTCAGGCGCGATAATCCGATTGTATATTTATAACGCGAATGTATTCGAAACGTGCGCAATGCGAAATGGGTAAAAATTTGAGAAAAAAAAGTAGTTGAAACTTTATAGGAGAAACGACCGCGTTCATTGGGGATCGTTGCAGGTCGTTTTGGCGCCGACGAGGTTATTCGTGAAGAACGTTTTCGGCACGACCCCCCAATGGCGTCGGAAGACCAAACGACATTGTTGATAAATTAGTAAATGCTATTTGCTCGGTAAGTATATTTGACACGCGGGTGTCGATAGGCCCCCGCATGGAAAAATGTATTTTCTCCGTGGCCCTCGCGCGTTTCAATTTAATTCATATTGAAAATATCGCTGTGCGAGTCTCGCCTCAACGTTGGGAGGTATTCGGAGGTACACGCTGAAAATGAAAGAATTATTGCCGGTTGTTCCAATATAGGTACTGGATTGAAAAACTCTAACCTTGTCAGTAAAAATTTAATGTTTGTGGTTACTGAGAACAGAATACTGCATGTGTGCAAGTTTATTTATTGTAGGGCGAGGGAGCAGTTGTTCAATAATGATTAGACATGAAGATTATTAATAATCATAGAAATTAGTTAATAAATTAAAATTTGTATTTGAATTGAATTGTATATCCATACACATTGTTGTATAATTTGAATAATTCTTATTTATAATTTTTAAACAAAAAAATATTGTTTGTATTTTAATGTAGGCAAATATGAAAATATTTTGAATAATTTATGAATAGGAATGGTGACTTTAACGTTTATTTATCAATGTTAAAAGTATTAAAATAATTTTTATCATAATTTTTCAAAAACAATAAAAAAAAAAAAAAATAAAATAAAATAATAATAATAAAAAAATAATAATACAAAATTATTTAAAACAGTTACAAAAGAAAATAAAATAGTTAGAATTCACAAATGCAAAAATAAAATGACTAAAAAAAAAAAAAAAGTGAGTTACATAACTTTGTTATTTACATAAGTCTACTAATACAGTCATCCGTTAATTAAACATCTCTAACAAACGAGATGTTGGAACAACCACACAAATTTCAATTATTGCTTTTGAATTATAAATCAAGTAGGTATAATACAAAACAATGTAAACAAATTATTTTGATAATATAAGTAAAAGTTTACATGTTTTTGAATGAAAAATGTAGTTTTAACAAAGACGAAAAAAAAAAAAAGAGAAAAATGAAAAGCATTGTTAAAATGATACTACTACTAAATATTTTAATAAATTAAATATAAATTCAAATCAGTGGGCATATTATTAATGTAATGTGATTCAAGTCATGATATTGTACATGAGTTTCTCGTAATGTATGATGTAGAAAAGTTCAATGGTGTATTTTTCAAATTATGGTGTTGTGATACCGAATGTGCCTGGTGGCCATGCAACCGCGATACACCTGTGTTGTTGGAGGGCAGTTTAATTTTTTTGGATGCTGAAGCATTCCGTGGTAATGACATAGATAAGGTGGAGAAGCTAGTCAATGCGTATGACTTTAGGTGTGATTTAATTGTCATCGGTAAAGGCAACTGGTTTATACCATATTGTGTGGTTCGGGCTACAATAGCACGACAACACAACTCTTGGAGGCTCAATACTGAAAAAATATAACAATATTTGTTACATATAAAATTACTATTTTGAAAAACTGAATAAGATATACCTTTGTTCGATCTCAAAAGTCTTTCCATTCCGTTTCTATGTAATGCTCGCCTTGCTAATTCACTAAAACTTTCTCTGATATTGAAGTCGCACAGTGGACTGACTTCAAATAAAGTCATATGGTGTTTTGAGGCATAAGATTCTGCTTCTTTAACACTAACTTGTCTTTTAAATGCCAAATGCAAACGATTACCAACCAAGACCTTTGGAACTCCCGGTGCATGCTATTTAAATAAATAAATCAACAGGTAATGTAAAATTATATTGGTAAAATTGAATAATGTTATTTAAATAAGTTCTTGATACGCAACATAATAACACATTTTTTAATGTTCAATATATGAATTGTACATGGAGATTTTTAATTTATTTTAATTATGTATCTAATATTGCTAAAAATAAATTAGTTCATTATACCATAGTAAATTATACTATTCAGTAGTCATTAATAATATAATAATGCTGAACGTGTAAGAACAAAATTCCAATAATGGGCGAGTCTTATAGAATTTTTAATCATAGTTAATACCGTTAATGTCTGTACGCTACCTATTTAGATAATTAATTGAACAATTGTAAATTGTTTGTACACTATTGTTTTATCTTTGCGTAAAATATTAAAAATATAGTTTATCATATTCAATAATTATACTGTATATCAGTATTTAATATACAGTGTGATCACAATTTTCAGACAGATTTAAATTTTTTAATCCTTTCGATATGCTTAAGCCCAATGCAACTTAATTTTTTTTTATAATGACAACACTAATTGTTTTCTATACAGATTCAGTTAGAGTATTTTTTTTAAACAATTTTTGTATAAATAGATTTTTTTTTAATAACAAAATTTACCAAATTGAGCAAGTCGAAATTTGAGTTTATGTATAATTAGTTTTTAACAAAATTTTAACTTAAAACTTGTTATTGATTTAATGAAATAAAAAAAAAACATCACACACCAAAAGTAATATAAACTGAGTAACAGTAATAATAATAATAATATTTGACATTTATTTTATTATTTATAGCTGTTATAAGTTACAATTTTTGATTAAAATTCGGTCAATTTTGTAATTAGAAAAAAACTTTTAATGCAAAAATTATTTTAAAAAAAAGTGCGCATGCGCATACTGAAAGGGTTAAACAATTTAAATTTGTTTGAAAATGTGTATTTCGATACTCCCTTTCATTTCCAAAAAAAAATAAACCCATTTTATACAAGATCATCCAGGTGAAATATTTAATAGTACATGCAATTGTGATCGCACTGTATATATTATTATAATTTATATTCAATGTACCTACCTATATATAATATTTTAATAATTCAAATTGTCTTAAATTTTAAAACAGGATAGTTCAATTTGAATTAGACATAATTTTAAAACCCAGGGTTCATTATTTTAAATAAATATTTTACCCAAGTGTATAACTCATATAATAGAACAGATATTTAAATAAAATACTTTCAAATTTTTATCAAATCAGATATAATTTATGTTATTGCTGTTATTACAATATGTACCTAGATATTTAAGAGCAGCTAATAACAGTAATAAATAATGATTTAACATTGTCTAAGAATAAAATTGTTTTATAAATGGTTAACCAACTGATTAAATTAAAAATAATTGATTAATAAATAACATATAAACTATTAAGTAGAATAGATAATCTATTGTTCTCGATCGGGAACATTTTATGATAATTCACTGATAGAACATTATTTAGAACTAAGGAATAAGTAAATTTATTTTTAAATGTTCCCAATCAAGTACAATAAATTACCTACACTAATGTATGAATGGATTTTTTTATAACCATTTAACAAATCAACAATAGAATCCATACCTCTTCGACTTCTTTTAACCATCTATCCAATCCATCAAATGACCACTTATTAGTTATGTCATAAACCAACAAAACACCTTGTGCTCCTCTTGAATAAGATCTGATTATTGTACATAAACGCCCTTGACCTGATGCATCCCACAATTGCAGTTTTACCCGTTTACCGTCCAATAGTATAATTGTAGTTTTGTATGCTGTAAACAGAACAAATTTATTTAATAAATATTGAACACTTAAACTTCCTATACTTGGTCTATATGAAAACATCCACACTGCATGTATAATATTATGTTTATAGATTTGATTGTGAAAAAAAAAAATACACATATGTTTTCCTAATATCTTTTACAAATGTACAAGTAAGAGGTACAAATATTAACAATAACAATATGGTATTTATTATAATATAATGTATTGGTGTTTACAGGTGTGATAGGAATTATATGAATGTTACTATATGTTATTGACTATTGTTCGCTGTTGGAAGTAAATGTAACACTTAAATCAAATTTAAAAACACATACAAATTGATTTTAATTATTTTGAAAAGCGGTGTCTGTACCTATTAGATTCAATTAGGAATATTATCCGAATGAATTGTGTATTTGTCCTCAGTTTATGAAATACCGACCAAATAGAAAGTATACATCCAACCCGGTGATATGATTTTTACTGTAGATTTTATTCCAAATTAAATATAAAATTAATAGACTTGCTCTAAATTATTTTCAACAATATTGATTGTCAGAATATTCTGTTGGCTATTTTACATTCTGAATGGATATTTCACAATAGAAACAAATGAATATGTACGCCTATAGTTTTCCTTAATTTTACATGTTTATTCCACAATGGCTAATAGTTCCTGGTCTGGCTATTTCGAACTTTTGAATATCTTGGTACTTAACGAACATTTACAAAAATACGAGATTGTAGTTCGAAATTGAAATGTCAGAATTGCACGGGCACACATTCCTTGAATATTACTGGTTTTTCCTGACCTTTTTCAGGTTTTCAAAGGGTGTGATGGAAACCAAGGAAATGGTAATAGAAATAAATAGATTATAGGAACTTTTTAAATAAACATAAAGTTTTTATTGCATTGAATAATATAATTACATACACGGAAAAACATGTTTTACGATGAACCACGGTACTTGGTAAGACAATTGACATGATCCATTACAAACACATTATTTGAAATATTTCACTGCCATAAACATAATATTATTGTTGGTTCACTAGACCTTTGATTGAAAAATTATATTTACCACTTCCGCTACAATAGGGCGAATCGGACGATCCGTCCTCGAGATCGTCTAGCATCTCTTGTTTTCCAACATCACTGTCGCCGACCAACAGGAACTTCAGCAGGTAATCATACTCTTTCTGCTGCGGACAACCGTCGGTTTCAAGCGACATGCCAATTTCGGTGTGTTGTGTTGTGTTAAGTCATTTGCAAACGCCACACACACACACACACACACACACACACACACACACACTGGTCAGGTTTTCACACAACACACGACGGCAATACACCAGCACGCGGAAAAGCGCTTTTCTACCAGACGAAACTCGGTTTTCCGTAATTCACTGCGTCCATCTAGTGTGCAATTGGTCCAGTCGCATAACGCATTTGCCGAGTATATCGAAATCGCAATATGCTGTCAAGCCTTTTGTTGTTCAGACATCAGTGTACTTGTATTGTCAATACACTCGGTGATAACGCTAATCGATCCATGTGACCAGCTGCTGTAGCTGGTGCGTTACCGCACCGCAAAGATGTTGCGAAACGTATTGATAGTGACGGCTGTTTTTAAATATTCAAAAATAACAAATTGTGCGAATTACTGCGTTAAAAAAAAAAAAAAAAAACAAAACTAAACGAGAGCATTTTCCTAATAGGTACTTATTTGTTTGTGTTCGACACGTTATTCTTGTTGACTGTTGTTGTTGTTGTTGTTATTATTATTTTTTTTTTTTGCACGAGTTTCGTTACTTATTTACAACACAACTTGCTGCTGATCTGCACGCGTCGTACAGTTCGTACGTTCGACGTTGTGGTAGGACACACGTCTTTGGAATGATAATGGCAGGGGATTGATAAGACGACACTGGATGAAGCGATAATAATGTAATTATTTCGTTTCCTGATGGACTATCGTAATGGTTTTTTTAACGCGTGTTTTATGTGATCGTATGTAGTGACTTTGTGTACCTTGTAGACGATGTCGAATTTGTGGTGTACGTGCACGGTTTGTCGGTGTTAAAATTTAAGGGGGACAACGATTTTAAATATATCAACGACCTTGACTACCGAATGTGTGTCGTTACTCGTTTGTTGTTGTTGAGCAACGAATATTTTAATACACACAAGACTTCACTGTAGACGTCGCCTTCATTTTACGAAACTCGTGTGACCGGCCGACTTCGGTTCTCGTCTCGTTTCCGCGAAATCGTTGTCTTCAATTGTCGCGTTCGTTTTCCTTTTCGTCGACCGCGCACCAAAATCATTTTCCACTTGGTTTAGCTATTCAAATGCCGGGAAATGCACATGTCGGGGGACATTTACTGAGACATGGCCAATAGTCTATCACTGGACGACCGAATAGACATCGAGCTCTACGCGTTATTTTTGATCAGTGGTGTACCATAAGGCTATATAACGGATTTAGTGAGTAATAATATGCCCCGTGCGGATGTTTGGTGAAATCGTATTCATTATTTTTTTATTATTAAAATTGTACATTTCGATTCCTGCCTAAACCCTACGCAATTATTACAATTGCCGATTTCTTTTTGGTACAATATGTAGGTTTTACAACATACCGACTTGTACATTTATTGAATCAGGTAGGTGACCGATTTGATTTTCGTCTTTGATTTCGGATACAATCTATAATGAACTTTGCCTCTATTTTACTTAATCTAACCTTTATCTATTATTATCCTAGAACTCTGTTGCATACACGTGTTTTCACTATTAAATAAAACATTAGCACACAGATAAGTAAAGAATTTGTCCAACAATTTTTTTTTTTTTTCTTCTCTAAACGCCAAAAGATAAAACGAGTACATAGTGTATTTAATTGTGTAGGCGCATCACGAGGTGCAATATTATTTATATTCACCTACTTTGGTTTTTCAATCAAAAAACTTTATTAGTAAATATTAACCAAACTCACCTAGGTATCTGGGTTTTGTCAACGTGTGTTTTGTTTGTTTTTTTTTAAACAATTTATTTTACCTAGATACTAAGGTTGTTTACCTATTTGAAGATGACATATTGTGTTAAGCCATATAATTATGTAAGATATATATAGTAAGTTGGTAACTACCTACCTATTATAATAATAATTTATTATAGAAATGGAACTATAGATATCTACTACCCGCTTTGCTTTGAATTTAATAATAAACATTAGAATAATGTAAGTTTATTTATATAATTTCGGTAAGTTTTCACTGTCTTTTACTATTTGTTTATACTATATAGGTACTTATTTACAAACAATGCACGAGATAATTTTTTTTATTTGGGTACCGAGATTGATAGAAATTAGGTTACACCATATAGGTACCTACCTAATTATTTATTTTGTTTTGAATCTTATAATCTAACCGGAGTAAAGTGACCTTTTAGTTAAAACTCAATTAGATTTTTACATAGATTAAATTAATATGTGTCTACCTACAGATATTTTGCCTTGATGTTTGCTGATATTGGACTACATTCAAAATATTCCTAATGATTAATAATAGACATTTTAATCACAATAGTGTCTTTCATAAACAATAATATTATAATTAATTAAATATCAATTAGTATTGAAAATGATATGTCCGTAATAATAATTGGTATTATTATTAAAAATTACTGTACAAGATGAGTAATATTGTTTGTATACATGTATCATTCTGTGTATAATACCTTATTGATTGTTGAACAAAATTATTATACCCTGGCTAATTAAAATCTATTAACTGTTAATATACCTACTTGACATGTCAAATACTTAGAAGTAAAAACATATATATATATATATATATATATATATATATTTGCTTGAGGAAGATACTTTTAAGTTGGCGGGTAAAACATTTTTAACAATTTTAATGAGTACAAATTGATACCTATTAATAGGTTTTATTTTTTTTTTTCTCTTAAATTTTCTCTGTTTTATTGCTATTTTATGTTCAATCGAAATTGTAAAGAAGTTATAAAAACCAAAGTTAGAAGTGATTTATAATACTTTTCTCAAAATGTTATGAAAAAAAAATGTGTTACTATGGATTTGTGATATTTTTATAGTACCTACCAAATTAACTATTTATGTATAACTTGCATACAATTTACAATTTTCTTAAAAATCACTTGTATTGTGCACACTAATTTTCAATTGAAGGTACTTGGTGATAAAATAAAAGTTGAGTTTAATGTTGTAATATATTTTTATAAGTCTTTAAAGTTCAATTAATGTATGATAAAATCCTTACAATTGTAATTTATTTTGTAATTGCCTAAAAATTTATAAAATTATATCAATAGTTATAAAATGTCAACAAATGTTTACCAAATTCGGCTCACAATCGCTTTCTTTTAACTATCATATTTTTGTTTAGGTACATTTTTTAATAAATAATTACTTATCTAATTACCTATTTATTTAAAACCAGACTGTTTTGTACATTTTTAATGAATATCTGGTAACTATCTATCTAGATTATTATTTGAGGATAGGTACTTATTTATTAGGTAATACTATCTAGATGGGAAAATATAATTAAATCATGTTTTTGTTTTATGTATGTATATAGAAGAAGGATAAAGGACGCTCCAGTCTTCATGAATTCGGTTTGGATGCAGTGTCCAGTGCTGTTGCCACAGCGATAGCACGGTCAGTTGTTGCACCATTTGATAGGGTCAAAATAATATCTCAGGTATGTTAATAATTAAAACAGTGTTTTTTTTCAGTATTAAGTGATTTATTAATAATGTAAAAATATTCTACTAAGTACTAAGGTACCTACTCTTCAACATTTTAAACATTTTTAATTTGCATAGATGCTCTAAAACATGTTATTTCTATATTATTTTTACTGAAAGAATATGGCAAATTGTGTGTTCAAAATACTATGACCTCACCAAATTATTGCTTCATCATTCTTCTTCTGTCTACCATCACAAATAACAAACAATATGAATGTCCTAATTTTATTACCCGATGTTCATGCTCTTTTAGTAAATAATTATAGTAAAATATAAATACACCAAATAATATACAAAACATAATTAATTAAAAACAGATAATAAAATTAAACTTTGTCATAAATTACTATTGAAATATCTATCTTATATATATATATATCATGTTTTTACTATATTTTAGGTTCATTATACATCAGTAAATGGCCAAAATAATTCACATTACCATCCAGGTATTTTGACTACATTAAATCAAATCTATCGTGAGCAAGGTTTACGTGCATTATGGTTCGGAAATGCCACAAATATTTTACGATTTGTGCCTTCTCAGGTAATTTTAATACTTAAACATAATATTAAATTATGTTTAGTTAAATTTGTTGTAAGTCTCATCAAAATTCAATGAATATTATTTATTTAATTGTTATACATTGATAGATGGTTATCACAAGATTATTTGTTATAAGTCATAAGTAATAAGTGATAGAAATAGGTAAGTACCACATTATGATATCATTTTTTTGTTTCTCCAGTAAATAATAATTGTAGGTGCAATCGCACCCACGTATTTTTCTAAATACTGTCAATGACCTATAACTTATAGTATTCCATTTCTATGAAAAATAAATTATTTTGTACCTTTTTAATTATGCACTAATATTGATGCTTGTAACAAATAGGCTTGTAAACTAGCTGTCTATTTTTTATATCTAAAATTATATTTAAATATCTATAGAAAAAATGGTTTGTTTTGTTGAAATAAATATGTTATTGAATCTAAAATATTGTATTTTCAATAGGCAGTTATGTTTGGATTGAACACATTTTACCTAAAATTACTTTTGGGTAATATAAAACATAAAGATGATGGTTTTAGTCATGTAGCACTGAGTTTAATATCTGGTGGATTATCTGGTGCAACAACCCTATGCATATTTTATCCACTTCTTTTCTGTCAAACTCATTTAGCTGCACATGTTGGACCATTGGTAGATCGTGAATATACTGGATTATTAGACTGTATACAAAAAACTGTACAAACAAGAGGTGTACGTGCTTTGTACACAGGTAAAGATATTAGTTCATTTTTTTAGATTTACATTACACAACCAACTAATATTAATTTATGGTTACAGGATTTGCTATTGCAGCAAATGGTATGGTCATAAACAAAGCAATTTATTTTGGAGCTTATTATAGCTTTAACAAAACTATATTAGACCATAATAATAGCTTAATTTTCAATAAAGAAAAAGACGCAAAATTACCATTTTGGATACGTTTTGCTACTGCACAAGTATAATAAATTGACCATTATTATTTTTATGAAAAGTGTATACATATCTATATATATATTGCACGTTTTGTAGGTGGCTACATATCTATCGCAGTTATTCAGCTATCCTTTAGATACAATAGGCAGAGTGCTGATTGTACAAACATCTCAGGAGGAAAAATTGTATCAAAATGCTAGAGACTGTTTCTCAAAACTTTGGAATTCTCAAGGTTTATCTGGTCTGTACCGTGGAATGTTGCCTAACATAATTCGATCAAGTGGTTCAGCTCTAATTCTTGTGCTGCATGATGAATTCAAATGGATATTGAGCAAAACTGGTATGTTATTTAAGAATGAAAATCAAGATGATTAAATTATGATTGATCTTATTCCTTCTACCCATTTTGACAATGTACAAATTTGAAATTTTTTAATGTTTAATTGTTAGTTGACATCATGAGATTCTAGTCAAGTATTCTTAACCTTGTTAGTATCTGCGACCAATTATTTGTAAATATCATGTTCAAATTACATACTTGTTAACACTAATATTAAATTGATTTTATTGATTTCCTATACTGTTTAGTTTTTTCTTTTGTTTTTACCAAAATTATTATTCTTTAAAATGTAAAATTATTTAAAATATAAATATTGGACATAAACATTTTTTTTTTTTGTAGTGTTTAGATTATTAATGTATGATATTTGTTTATGTTAAACCAGTGTTATAGTGATATGCAATTATATTTTAAGAAAGTTGCATAAATGATATTGACAAAATTTGTCATGTTTAAGACATTTTATCAGGTTTTTTGTATACTTAAGTAGATTTATGAAAAATAATAAAAAAACAAATTTTAGAAATTGAAGTTTTTCCAATTCTATTTTATTAAAATTATATACAAATATTTAAGTCTCATAATATTATTTTGGACTGTTATGTACATAACTTAAAACACTAATATTAATGTAGAATATTGTTCGAAGATCCTATAAGTTGAAAAGATACTAGTAAAAATGATACGCATGTTTAGTGACTATATAAAGTAATGACAATGTCGCCTTTGTTGTCAACATTTTCAAGCTATTTATTTGAAACCTCAAATCATTGGATGAAATACACACACTTTAATAATCTTTCTAGACTTTTAACGTAGTAAAGACTATTAGAGTTTTATCACGTTTGCTGCGTATCAATTTTGTACATTCATACCCCAGTGCTGGTCAAAATTATATCTTATTATATTATATGTTTAAAAATAAAAAGGTTTGAGTTACAAATGTCACATATATGTTCAGTAATATAAACTGGAAAATGCTGAAAAAAAAATATATACCTGAAAATCTAACGCTAACCAAATTTAGAAATGATGTCTTAACGTATCAACCTAACCTTTGTAGATGATGATTAAATATTATAATATTTAGCTGTTCTTCATGAGTTTCGTTTTGAAATAGGGATTGAAATTTCAAAAGGACTGACAATTTTAATAAAAGTATAAAGTGCCAATTATATTTTGAAAAGATAAATCTAGAATTTAATTATGTTCATACCTAAATTATATAATTTATTGGTATCGTTTCGCAGTGCAACAAACAATTTGCAAAAAAAATATTTCAACAATAGATACCTTTTAAAAATACAATTTATAGGTACTTATTTATGTATATATACAGAGTGATTTTTTTTCTGTGAGGATTTTAAATGAATTTGATTTCTATTTGTTTTTATCATTATGGAATCAGTTTAGCTTTATTTTAAAATCATTTTTAATTTTTTACCCCTACTTCATATACCTTAAATAAATAATAACGTTTATCTTTCAAATGGGTAGCCTCCTTTTTGAACACAAATTTGAATAGAGAATATTTTTTTAGACATTTTGATAAGGTAGAGTACAATCATGCAATTTATAACCCTTCTCTACTCCTCCAGTGTAAACTTTAATCAGTTATAACTCATAAATGGTAAATCTGATATTAGTGTTATGCTTATCAAAATTTCTAGAAAAATATTTTTTATTCAAATCAATGTTCAAAAAGAGGCTTTCTATTTGAAAAACAAAAGTATATACTTATTTAAGGTATATATAGAGTAGGGATAAAAAAATTAAAAATGATTTTAAAATAAAGCTTAACTGATTCCATAATGATTAAAAAAAAAAAACGAATCAAATTCACTTAAAATCCTCTGAGAAAATTGTTGTTTCATTATAAAAATCACTGTATATAAAAAAATACTAAGATTTAGCATACTTAATTATTTAAATGTAATTACAAATATTATAGTTTTAACAGTTTCAAAAGTGATGAAATTATATTGAATGAACAAAATTTACTTGATTTTTAAATTTTAATTAATGTTACATATAATTTTGTATATTTTAACAAGATTTTTCCAGTAATTCGCCAGCACATTCTAAGCCTACCTACCTTTATATTCTATCCAACTTATTTTATGGATACATTTTATTGATGGTTATAATTCTATAAAATTTACAGAAGTAAACATTTTGATTGATATGTGCATAGATATTGTGTGTGCCAAGAAAATTCTTAAAAAATCTAATAATAGAAAATAACTTGATGAAATTTCTAAACAGTACGTTTCCAAGGTCTTGACCGACTTGTATATTACCTATACAAGTACCTACGTCATGATGATTTTGTATACCACCTCACATAACATTATTGGCCATTTCTATAGATTCAGCGGCATGGACATCATACGAGAGGTACTTCTAATACTAAAAATGTTATATACTTATTACTGAGCAATATAAATAATTGAGCTTAATTACATTCATTGTTATTTTGTTCGTTTTAAATTTTTTAGCCTTTTTATGGAGTTAAAAATGTTAAAAAAAAAAAACAATATGGTAAAACTCATATTATAGAAATTCAATTCAACTATTATCATTTCAATCCGCCTAAAAAATCATTCTGATTTCTGAGTTTAGTTTGGCTCATTCAATCCAGAGGGAGTTACTATAAGTGCATAAAATCAGCATGAAAAATAAAAATACGTACAGAACTTCAATGCAATGATTAATTAACATTATACTTATATGTTTAAAAGGTTTTAAACATTTCAAAGAACTAAATATAACATTTAATTATTTATTTATGGTTGTTGAATTTTCAATAATGAATAGTACCTACATAGACAAAATCACAAAATAAATTGGGTATAAGTACCTACAATTAAGACTTCATTAGCAACTAAAGCAAGTGCCGAGTTTTAACATGTGTCTTGTAGTAGTTGTATATTAACACTTACCAACAAAATATTACTTCAAAAAGTGCATATAGTTTAGCCAAGTACCAAACAATTCCTACCTACTCTGTCGAACTTATGGAATACAGATTAATAATGCCTATTGCATTTTGCCTACCTATATCTAGTTTAAATTTTAAAGTTCAAATTTTATAATATGCACAACAAATAGTTTTAATTTTATTAAATTATACTTTGTTGCCAAGTGTGTAAGTCGTAAGAATGTTATAATTTCAAACAAATGTTGTTTATTCCTCCCAGTTTTTGCCAAATAAAATATGGTAACCCTACTATAGCAACTACTGTGTATTGTTTTGTATTAACTAGTAAGTATTTCAATGTGTTAATTATACAAATTGTATTATGGACTGTAGGCGACAGAGGTTGAATGGATGGATAGAAAATGGGAATTTCCTGATGGTCTGGTGGCCTGATCATTTTATATATCTAGGTAACATAATTCTTATTCGTAATATTTAAAAATGTAAAAAACATTTTTTACATTAAGTATAGTATTTCGATAAACTGTTGAATTATTGTACCATTTTTAACTATGAACTATCATTTAGAATACAGTGTATGCACGAGCATTGGATGCAAAATGAGAGAATATTATAAAACTATAAACATCAATTATAATAAAAAACAAAAACAGTGACATGTGTTGACTGGCTGGAAATAGAAAAATGAAAGTTTTGAAATTGATGATAAACCAATTAAACAATCAGAAAATAATTGACTGGGTAATAGGTATTGAAATTTAAAAAACTATTAAATACCTATTATCATTGAAAGTATATGTACAGTATTTTCAAAAAAAAATATCTTGCTATCAATTTTCAAAATTCAAGCAAATAGAATTTCATTTTTTGTAATTACCAATCAATCGGTATATAGTAACAAGGCTACTTATAGTCGAAATACGTATAAATGTTTAATACAACATTGTTGTTTATTTGTTAGGTTTAATATCTATGTGTCGAGGATAGGTAAATCAAATTTTTGTTTGTTTTTGTTGTTCAACTTTCAATGCGCGTTTTAGGTACCTGAAATGTAGGTACATTCAATGTACTACAGTAACATAAAGAACATCTTTTTGACATTGTTACAAGACCGTGGTTAAAAAAATAAGGTATAAAATAATGGACACATCGAAGACACAATCGATTTTAAATTCGATTAATTATAATCGCAGTGCTGCAACCATTAACCACAGATTTAGGTATAAAGCTGTTAAATAGCCGAGTAGCCGACATCGCGATAGAAAGCGAAGCGGCTGACATCTGGTGGCGGTGGCATGAAACGTTTTAACGGGGCCGACATGAAAACTGAATTATTGATGAAATATAAAATATTGAGAATTGGTTTACCCGATTTGTCATAAATCATAATTTATTAACCACGCGTCGTGTTCAAGTTTTGATTACACTTTCGCATTTGGTAGCTGCCAACCCATAATTATGAATCATGTTTATTGTTCCAAAACACCAAAAATTCGCAAAAAACATTAATATTGTCATGTTCCACAACGGAACATGTGATTTTAACAATTCCATGGAATTTATATGAACATTGAAACATAGGTTTTGAGATTTGAGTTTTGAGGTTCTGAGATCACTAGTTTTAACCCTTTGGGGCACACATTGTTTTATTAACATTTGTTTTTTGGAAAATATTAAAAGTTAGCACTCATATTGCACATAAAAAGAAACAAGAAATAGGCGGTTTCACTATAATACCACAATGCTTCAAAGGGTTAAGGCACAAAGCAACGATTCATAATATTTTTTTATTATTATCCATACATCGAAATTCACCAATGTGGTTACATTTCATTATTTGCGTAACCCCAACATTTTTCCTTCTATTTGATTAGGTATTATGCAATCGAAAATTCAATTATTCATAAAAAACAAATTAAATTAATAATATTGGCATTGTGAAATTGATTATTATCAGTTATCAGCATAGACAGTGCCACAGTGGTCCCGTTAGTAAAAGTAACTACAGCGCCCCTATATTTGCTTTCTATCGCGATAATAGTCTATACTATAGATCATATACTATGGATAGAGCTGCTGCGTGATAAACGCGAACCACGAGTTGAAGACATCATCATCAGTGGCGGCGTGAACTTTTTTATTTTATGAGGCGAACATAGATGTTAGAGGTTGACCATCATCACCTAAGTGTTATTAGACAGAGTCGTTAGAAAGGAGCCCCGACACACCACTTCACCACACATATTAATCAATTTACCATTCCAAAAATATATGCCTTAACATGGTGATTTTATATTTTATAAATATCAAAAATTAATAAAATTGGGCACTTCATATGTTTTAATAATACATTATACCGTTTTTTTTTTTATTTCGCTATCCGTCAATACGAGAAAACACTGGACTAATAATCAAAATGCTGAGCTATGTTAAACATGCGACATTCAATTGACAGAGTTTAGAAGTCTATGCGATTTCTTTTAACCGCTTTCGAATGCCCTATCTTTATAGGGCGTGTGATATTATTAAATCGTTCCTCGTCAATACTACAAAACATAAAGATTCATCTCTTAGATTAGGATGGCGGCCATTTTATTGGTGAAAATAATAATACCATTGATTAAATAATACTACTATTAGTATTATTCAATCTATGCTATTTTATAAATATCTTTATCGGTTCCATATAGTGTAGTATTGTTGCATAAAATTTTTAACTTAAATGCAATTATTTGATAACTTACCCTGGTTGTAGTAGTGTAGTATATTCAATAAATGTTAAAACTTTACATTAAAATTCACTGTATAAGGTACTATTTCCACCATTATTTGTCAAAAGAGTCTATTTCTATAACGAAACTATATTTCATTTTTTCTATGCATTTGTATTGAGTCATTAAATGATTTTTTTTTTATTCTGAGTTCAACGAAAAATGTATTGGTTTTACAAAGATGTTTTTTTTTTTTTTTTTTAATGTAAACAATTTCAGTTTTCTACCAGAAATCTTATTCCGATTATCAAGTACAGCACTTTTTCTGAAAGGAAATGTTCTATGGGTGGTATTTTAAAGAAGTCATTTTTTCACATTTTCATTAATATTCGAGATAATGAGGAAAATCAGATTTTTTTAGGTAAAAAAAGATCGAAAGATTAAAAATAAGGCTGTCATTGGCAATCGTTTTTATTTATTTTTTGTTGTTATTAAGTTTTTATTACTTTAATATTTTTTAAACAATCATTGTTGTCATCGAAATGCACATTTCTGTAATCATTTCACCATAATATGACATATATATTGTTGACAAAGCAACAATTTCAATTGAACTCTGCTCGGAATCGTTTGTTCGTTAGCAATAGTGCAATGGTTTATCGTTGCATATAGTCTACAGACATATATTAAATTCCCGTCGGTATCCTACCTTCCCAACTTCCCACATACAAAGGTGGCTGTACCTACGTGTGAAGTATGTCCGTCCTTTTTTTTTTAATTATAATTTTAAGAAAATAAATTTTAAATTAGTTCAGGTATATAATTTAATATTTATACATATAATTTATATATAATTATATATATATATATATTAGATACATAATTTAATTCTAAGTGGAACAAGGAATGTATTGGTTTTACAATGATGTTTATTTTTTCATTTTGTTTTTATCTGTGAACAACTTTTCTACTAGAAATCTTGCTCCGATTATCAATATTATCATATTACCTTTTCTGAAAGAAATTTTATCTAGTTGATTCATCGGAAAGATAATTTTTTAATTTTTCCACGGTTTTTATAATAAATGGGAAAAAACGTAGGAAAAACGGGATAATTTACGAAATGTATTATTTTAAAATCGTAAATATTACGGTCTTACAAACCATGTATAATCGAACTCAGCTCAGAAATGTTTTTAGTTAGTAATGACTAATCGTTGTATACAGACATACATTAGATTTCCTTCTATATTCTAAACTTACCTCCTATTTAACTTATAACATTGGCTCATCCATTGGGCGAAGTATGTCGGTCTTTTTTAGAATGATATCGCATTTCTATTAAATGTTAATTTTCCGAAATAGTATGTTTTGTTTAAAATTGTTTATATTTTTTCCATAATTTGCTTTTTCCAAATGTCATACAAAACATACTTATTCTGGAAAGGTTAATTTTGCAGAAAACAATTTTTTAAATAATAAAAACTTAAACTGGAAAAAGAATGAATTTACAAACAGTGTACAAATATTTTTAGATGTTTTAAATACCCTGAATATCCTAGTAATATCCTAATATTTTTAATACCCTAGGTGTGGTTTACACCGATTCAAAATACCCTAAACAGAAAACCTTCAATATTGAAAAATGAGAACAAGTGAAAAGTACATTTCGTATTGAGGCCCCTCAATTATACCTACGTATAATTTATATTATGGCCACTGACCACAAACCAGCAAATTATATAATATAATATATATATACATTTAAGTGTACGGTTATGTGTATACAGGCCCGGTTCAAGCGTTTAAACGCAAATTTAAATTTTGCCGCCCCTTATACATGTAAATATTACGGCAACAATTTTAAATACCGCCTTGAAAAATGTCGTCCTAGGTGTGAGCCTATGTCGCCTATCCCTTGAACCGGGCCCGTGTGTATGTATCCTATAGCAAGTGATTAATATTAGACGATACCTAGTACAGAATAAGTGATCATTTCATAGGACCCACTAACCATCCACGGAAATCCAAAGCAACTGCTTCTAAAAAACATGGTTCGCTTCGTCATTAATATGAAATGAAACGAATAGCAGACAAATTTAATAATATAGTAAGTAATATAGTATCATCTCAAAAAATATTTTATTGATTATAATAATAATGTAATACTGGTAAATATCATGAAATATACGTAGTTAGTAAAATATCAATTTATTTATTCACACCATCGGTTATAATTTTATACATGTAGATATAAGTAACGTAGTTACTTTCGATTGTAATAAATATGTACCTATATAAGTAGACAAAATATTCAAAATAATATTACAGGTATAGGTACTTACATCAATTAGGTTTTAATTCAATTCATTATGTAATTATTATAGTTTTTCATATGTAAATAAATGTACTGAAAAAACTTTTCATTTATAATAAGTAGAGCCAGTATAGGTTATAATATAATATTTCGATACACACAAAAAAAAAAAAAATCGTAATTATTAATTATCTTATGAGCAAAATCAAATAGTTATACTTATACGCATACCTACTTACTTTTCTCTGCACACATTTAAACAAATAAGTTTAAAACAGAATAAGTCACCATTTTCACTTAATCTATAATTGCGTAAACCTAACCGCGAGTTCATAGCGAATGTAATAATATTATATAGTAGCCTACACTATTTATATTATGGTTATGTTTTACAGTTGTGTACCGTTTCCTTGTCGTCCTCCACGATCGTCGTAGAGTTGTCGTGCTGTTGTTCGCATAACGACTGCATTTCGGTCTGTTGGGTGGATGCCAACAGAGTGATTTTCATGCAATACACGATGGCCACAACGAACGTGATGACCAACGAGATGATGGTGATACCACTGAATAGAACGGTGAGGTTCAGCGGACCATTCCTACTGTAGGGGAGCGGGGTTTTCCTTTTGACTTCGTACACGAGCTTGTCACCGAACGATACGACGATCACGTCATGGTCCATCGTGTTGCCACTGTCACTGACGCCCTTGCCCAACGATGACGGTAACGACAATGGTCGCAGGGATGTTGGCGTCCGGCACACGATGCTCCGTGATTTAACGGAGGTGACGTTGCACGCGATCGTGGAGTTATGTAACCGGATGGACAGGTCGTCGGCCAGGTGGTAACCCTGGTCCAGATGCAGGCCGTTAATGGTCACTACCCGGCCTGTGCGGTCCGTTTCGAAGTCTGTGTACACCGGGTCCGGGTACAGCTCGTAGTCGGGCGAGCCCGACGGTGGTACCAGCTTCAGTATGGTCTTGTCGAAGTCCGCTTGGAAACCGAACTTGACATCCGTCACCATGTACGGGGCCGGTCGGTTGATAGTAGGTGACCTGCACTCCATGTACGTGTCGTTTTTAACATTGCACGTTCCCGTGTGCTGTATGCCTTTGTAGCTCACGTAGATGAACGGGTGTTCGATGCACTTAAAGTACCGGCCGTGGACTGGTAACCGAGTACCGCCCGTGGCGATGCCCCTGAACGTCTGATTGGCGTCCACGGCAGGTTCGCCCGTGTACTCGAACATAATGGTATGTGCCGTGTCATGATTCAGGTATTGGTCGAACTCGAGTCTCACTGAGCCTTTGATTGGCGTTTCGCTGGGGCCCGTTATGCACGTCAATTCGTTTTGGCTGCGGGCAGTGATATCGCACGTTATGTTATCGCCGATGAACGCCTGCACCGAGTTACCGGCGTTCAAAAAGTTCCCTCTAATGGTGATTAGCGTGCCGCCGGCCATGCGTCCGCACGTAGGCTGCACGCTCGCGATCTCGGGCTCGACGAAATAGAACGTTTGGTCAGACACCAGAGTCAAGATGGGCAGCGAAGATTTTTTAATATCAGATACGTAAGATACCTCCACCGGACCGTCGTTTAGGTGACTAATGTTGGTGGGCCCTATCATGCACGAAATCTGAGTACCGTCCACGGACGTGGTCGGCAAAAGACACCGGTGGCCAGCCACTGTCACCACGATCACCTTGTTCATCTGCAGTATCTTGTGGTTGGTGACAGTGATCTGGACGCTCGTGCCACCGGCCCAAGGCGCGTACAAGGGGTCTATGGACTCGATTTTGATGTCGGGACACCGGATAATCACTTCGTCAACGGAATTGGCCACGGTGAAGTTGTTAAGCCACCGGATGTCGCAGTATTCGTACTGTCCATTACAATCGTCGTTTTGAATGCACATCCGACAGTAGTACCGGTACACGTCGTCATCCCAAAAGCAGCTTACGCACTTGGTGTCTAAGGGATTCGCTACCACGCGACAGTCGCCGATCTGGTACACAGTCAGATAGTGGTCTTGCACGTGGTTAAACTCTAACGGTACTCCATCCATAGACGCCGAAAAGTACGTGATGGCGGACGGTTGATCCGTGACCGCCATCCGTCGCTCGTATTCAAACTTTGTGTCGGTCGTGTTGCATAGGATCTGGCGACCGCCTTCGGCCGTCGCGCCTAAAAATTCCTTTCCGTTCAGCGAACAGTCGATCCTAGTCTGGTTGAGCAGTGTCGCCAAATCGCCGGCTGCCGGATCGTTGGCGACATCCACTTTGACCACCTGGACCATGTACTCTTTGGATACCACTTTGTTGTAGCTGACGGTGAACGTGGGACACGACTCGGCGTCTCCGATCTCCAGTGGTTGCTGTGGTAGAATGCTGTACAGGTTTTCCGTAGATAAGTTGTTCGCCGCGGTGACTTGTTCTATCGATTCTGACGTCACCATCGTATTCGCCTCTGACGACAGCGCTTTATTCGTCTCTAGCATCAGCACAGTATTTGCAATTGGCTTCAGCATTATATATTCTTCTGAAGTCACCGTCATTGCCTCGGTGGTTACCGCGAGCACCGCCAGAGTGTCTTTACAAGATTGCTTGACCAACGACCATCGGCAATCCGGAGCCAAGGACGTACAATCCACGCATGTTTTACGCGACTTGCAAACCGTCCGGTTGGACTGTGTTACGCTATCGATCTTCGGTTCGGTTATCGCCGACCGGACCTGTCCTATCATTCCCCAGTCGCACGCAATCGCTACCTGTAACATTGAATTCACATCAGTTTATATCGTCCTCGGTGGCGGGCGTAGAAGAGGGAGGTTATGATATATATGATTTAAAAATAAAACAACAAGTGTTTGTTCAGTTATTTTATCCTGAAATTATTTATTTTAGCCGAATTACAAGGATAAAAGGTTACTTTATTGAAAAAAAAATTGGATTTTTTAGATCCGGTTTTTAGATTCTCGTTTTCAATTTAGAGATAACAAAAGAAAATTGTACAGTTTATTTATGGACCATGGTTGTTCTGTATTATATCCCCCGTTATTGTTAATGTATAGTCATCTATCGAATCTAAGAATATGTTTAAAAGTGATTTTAGAGTTTTTACTCATTTTGAATATTGAACGTATCAATTTATATCTAATTTACTCAAAAAGACGGTAGAAATTATAGATTAAAATTTGAAATTGTTTACGATTAAAATCATGTGTATACCTAGGTAATTTCTTTACGAATGATATGGCATTTATTGTGCTACAATCTGTATTCTTTAATTTTTTATCATAGACTGTTATACGATAATATACTTTTTTCGAGGTAAACCGATACTAGGTTTTTATAGTCAAAAATACTCGCACCAACATTATTTTAAGTTTTTTATTCGGAATTAAATTGTATGCGGAAAATATTGTGTAATTTAACTAAATATAATTATTATGATTCAACTGATTTATCAACAAATTGATTAATGTGTGTATGTATATTGCTTTAAGATTATATTTATTGTGCAATTAATTTTCACTTTTACAATTCAATTAATACTGCGTTTAAAATAATAATACTTTTAGTTGTTATTGTACATTTAAATTGACGTCGTGATGACATTATATTTAAACATCTGTACCGACTAGTGTACCCGGATAAAATACAGAGCGATTCTTTTATCAGAACAGTAAATGAAGACCACCTCTAGATAATATAGGCCAAGTAGTCAGGGATCTAGTATGCGGAATTAATTATGATTGAAAAAGGACAGCATAGGAGTGGGAAGAATGGAGGAATGTTGCCAACCAGCCCACGGACTGTTAACCGAAGAGAGAGATTATTTTATCGCGATCCATGCAGAAATTGTCAATACAAAAGATTTCGAGTGCATTTCTTGTTTACTTTAATATAATAATGATATTATATTATTGGTAGATCAAAAGTTGTCACCCGTGTTAATGGATAGCATACGGAATAAGTAGGGTACAGTTTTAAAAACTCGCAATAAATATATAAGATCCTAGCAGTGTAATCTTGATTTTATGTTAATTATAAAATCTTAAATATTTATTTATTATAAAATTATCATTGTTTTTATGTTAAAATAATCTTAAATAAGTATTTAAATATGATTATTTAACCTAAATAATAATGTTGTTTCAATAATAAATAATATATTTTTATAAACGTCTAATGAAAACAAAGTAAATTAATATTTCAAAATATTCTGAAGTGTGTGTTACATGGGGGCTAAATTTCTCACCTTGGTGATGTTTAAATATCATCACCAACAACGGAAGACTATGATTAAAAACAGTTTTTTTTTTGGTTATACTCTCGGTCCATGTCATTGATAAGGGGCATTCACACTAAATTTAACATATGAAATTAATTTTTAAGTTATTTTAATTTGACATTATAAAATTAAATGTCCAATAACATTTTTTAGTATAGGTAATATTTTAACGTTAGAAATATAACGTCTATAGTCAACTGAGATAATATTATTTTTTAAACATTTAAACACTAACTAAAATACAACGTTAATTTAATATTTACATTGTATAATATTTGTAGTGCAGTAAATTGTCATGTCTATAAAAAACAATCGGTTGAAATTTACTTGACGTCTTTGTACAGATAATCACAGTAAATTACAAACTAATCACTCTGTATACGATAAGGGTCATACGTTTTAATAATGTACAATGTGGTAATATATTAAGTACGTACTATCACGACTGCAAGCCATAATCTATTTGTAAGTAAATGCATCCAATGATATTTGAACTTTGTTGGTTGTCTCCAACTCAACATCTTCACCGAATTGCCGTAACTACGTCCTCCTGAAATAAAACAATCATTATTATAATAAAAATATATATTTAGGTTCAATTTTTGTTTCCATTTGTTCAATCATTTTAAAATTTTATAATTTTTTTGTTTTTTTCACGTTGCAGGCGAAAATAAAAATATTGAAAATTTCCCAATATTGGGAAACAATAAATCTTAGTATTAAATTATTGATTACTCATCCGTTAACTTATTAGGATATAATATGATCTTGGGGATCGAAAATCCACTGTCATTACTTATATTTTAGATTCTGAGGGAAGCGAGGAATGCATTGGTTTTATTATGATGTTTATTTTTTTTATACTGTGTACACAAATTCTATCAGAAATCTTGATTCGATATGTATATGTGATATCATTTCTGAAAGGAAATATTGGCTAGATGGAACTCTAAGGATGTCATTTTTTGATTTTCCAAACGGTTTTCATAATATCTGGGAAAACCTAGAAAACCCAGGATGAAGCGTAAGAAAAATGGGAAATTTACGAAAATAATATTTTTTATTATTTTCAATTTTGTTATTTATTGTAATTTAGTTAAAAATATTTGCAGAGACTAAAAATGTTTTTCGTTAGAAATTGTTAATCGTTGTTTATAGATATACATTAAATTTCCCCTCTACCTTTCCAACTTCTCACCTTCAACAGTGGCCCCCAACCACGTGCGAAGTAGATCCGTCGTTTTTTATCTTGAATTTTCAATTTATATTAGGACGGCCGATTTTCGAGTTTTTGAAGTTTGGCTCTTGGGCCCGTAGAACCCTTAATCCGGTCTCGCTTTTAGTATAATGTATAAATATAGATACAAAAATTACACATATCATACTTACTTATTGAGAAGTCGGAGTTGTATTTTCACCGAAGGTTATACAATTGCAATAGAAAAAAAAAAATTAAACTGTCTAGTCGAGGCTAATACTTTAAATACTTACTTAGGTGTGTTCGTTTTCATAATAATATTTGTATGCACTTTAAAATCAGGAATATCAGTCATTTGTCGTCGGCAATATTATTATACTAACTCAGTGGTCAAGCGATAGTGACATATTGTTCGGCTATCTGGCCGTATCAATAAATTAGTCGTCTAGAATAAATTATAATATTTTTAAAGACGATTATTATTATTATTATTATTTTATTTTTTATCGCCCGAAAAGTTATTAGGTAATTTCATGGACGTAGTCCGATTGCATCTTGACAGCCAGAGGTTACTATCATGTTTGTACAATTATGATTTTCATAAAATTACTGTAATAATCATTATGTCGTCATAAAATCGAAAATACGAAACGAACAAAATAACGCTGATAGGGATTTTATATGATGTTTCGCTTAGTATATTATTATACAGTGTGTCCCACCATGTTGGACGGATTTGTCTAGAGCCTTTAATATCAAATATTTTTCAATTTTTTTTTTTTTTTTTGATTGTGTTTAGATTATAAAAAAAGGGTGAAAATAATTAATATTCAATAAGCATCACAATCGACACACGGCAATTCCTTATCGTAACAGTAGTTTATTGAATATTAATTGTTTTCACACTTTTTTTTTTGAAATTAAAACGGCTATTACTACGAAATTATTCATCGGATATGAATGTGTGATACTGTCAAATTTTTAGAATAATATCTTTCACGAAATAGCTATTTTGAAAATTGTATAAAGTGAATAAATAAAGTTATTTTTTTTTTGTATTTAGGGGATGAAAATACAAATTTAATTTTTTTCCAAATCAATTAAAAAAATTAAATACTAATATAGCTCTAGAAAAATCCAGTATGGGACACAGTTTATATTATTATAGAGTGTAGGTATTAAATAATTCAATATGTTTTTATTTTAAGTTTTTTTATTTTTAAAACTGTTTTAATTTATTATAGTTTTTTATTTGTTATCGATTTGAACGGATTTACTCGTGTATTATAAAGAAATATTTCGTGTTCATAAATGCAAGGAATCGAAAATTATATTTCTTAAATAGTGGTTTTGATTCTTCTCACTTAATAATTAGTAGGTACAGTTTGTAAGTTTTTTTTTTTTGTAATTGTATTCGGTATACAGAAAACTCTTCAAGTTTTACTGAGTTCAGAACTTTTTAAATGGATAGGTGTTATGGAATAATAATTTTAAAAAAGATGGACATAATTCACACGATGAGTGGGTCACTATTGTAGGTGAGAAATTAGGAATGTAGGATATAGAGCGGAATATAATGTACATCTACGTATGTATCTATATGTACGTAACGGTTAACTATTGATAACGAAAAACGATTTTGAGCGGAGTTCGGTTATAAATGTTTTGAAAGGCCGTAATATTTACGATTCTCGTTAAAATTTGTATAAAAAAAAAAAAAAATTCCACATTACATTAAATTTTTTTTCTTACCACAAAGTACGACTTATAATGAATCTCCTGTTAAATTTTCAAGCATTTATATTTGGTCTAACAATTTTATTCATATAGTAAATACCTACCGAATAAAAATAACGTAAAAAACTAGCAAAATTAGAATGTCTAAAAATAGCTTGAAAATGGCTAAAATGTTTTGAACATTTCACCACATATAGAAACAGCAGATAAAAGTTTCCTAAAAATAAATACTGAAAATAATATATTCTGTAAATTTTCCCGTTTTCTTACGTTTTTTTCCAATTATTATGAAAAGAAACAACATCATTGTAAAACCAATACATTCATTCCTTAGTTCAGAATCTATAAAGGCTTTGGCTGTATTATAGGTATTTAAAATAAGAAGGATGGAGCTTTTTTATTTATTTTTAATTAGTTTAGAATCTTCTTACTAATTAGTTCGATTAAGGTGGAGGGACAGAGGGTCTTTTGTAAATAATGATATACCTATTCAAAAATATTTCAATTATCAACTCTGATTACTTATAATTTTTTTTTTTTAAATTTATATTTAATTATTAAATTATCATTCTGTCTCTATTATACTTTTACCTATTGTATAGGCCATACGGTCTACGCGACAACAGATACGTTATTTAACCGAAATCTAAACATTAACGTATTTTACGAATTGTGTATTTTTTGTAAATTATTAATTATTATAGAGTGATTTTTGAAAAGTGACGTGGAATATGTGGGTTAAATCAAGTTAAATCGCTGCAAGAGACGCTAATTTGTTTCTGATGTCTCATTTTGAATGTTTAAAGTTTGCTACATACTACGTCGAATCGCGTCAGACCAGAACAGTCGGAACACATTTATGAAGCCTTGATTTTCCCGTCATTTTGTCCGATAAATAATTTCCGGCAACAATTGATCCGGTTAAAAAAAAAAAAATACCAAAAATATCGGGAAAAAAAAAAAACAAAAAAAAAATATATAAAATGCAGATATATAGAAATTAAAATTATGAGTGATGCGAAATATGTATTGATATTTTTAGTTTCATAATGTTTAAAAAAGGTAAAAAGGTAAAAGATAAAAATAAATAATAATCTATAGGTAATATTATAATATATTATAGAATGTAACAAGCCACCTTATAATATAGATTACGAGAAACGGGCGAATATACCACGAATAAACAAATCTAATCAGCCATCAACGGTTTATCAGATATAAATTATTAATGTGTCGGAAATAGCGTAATAACTGTTCTTTCGATTTTACCGCAGGATTACAACATCCAGCCGTATGCGAACGTGTATAAACAACGTAAATACGTAAATTACTATCACGGCCGGATCACGCCCAATAATATCCCTAGGCATATATTAATTGTTAACGAACATTAACCAACACTTTGGCTGTAAAATTATCTTATAACTTCTAATTTCTGTTTTAAAATTCAAAATTATTATATTACTTAATCCATTTTAATATACTTCGGAATGCTATTGTGTATTACTAGAAATAAAATAGTCTCTGTCATTGCCTAGTCCTAAAGGCACGTACCTATATCTCGCCCATACGTTAATCCAGGCCACTTACATTCATTAAAAGCCAAAAAGGCGTAAATATGCTATTGATTATTATTTACTGTTTTTAGCCGCATAATTTTGGTACAAGTTTTTTTGAATCTGATCAAATGTCGCCGAATGTAATTTACTGGACCAAATGACGTGGAACCAATTGTAATGATATTTTATGCATTCGTTTGGATCGGATCAGAACCTCTATGTCGGAATGCGTCAGAACGGAACGGAACGGAATTATTTCTTCCCAAAAATATATTTTTCGATCCCCGTCATTTCGTATACTCATTTAAATATATATAGACCAATTGTGATAAATTGTATAATTATATAATGATACACTCAGAAACACACATTTAGTGTATTATTGAAAGGAAAAAAATACATTATTAAAAAGAAGTTCAAGATATAGATTTAATTTATTTATTTATATTGGAAACAAGATAAAAATGAAAAAACTTTGAACACCAGTTAAAATAATTAGCAACTTTTTAAACATTCATTGTTATTATTTACCAATCACCGCTCGTGTGCGTTCTCTTTCGACCATCCTTATCAAAAGTCGAATAGACGCGATTGTATTATTACACTATATTATTTTGAGTTGTGTCCGTCGATCCGAAACGATAAACAGTGAAAACACAGAATACTGTATGGACGAGGTCTATATGCATATGTCTCGAGCGGAGTACTTTCTCCAAACACACCCGCTCCAGCCCACCCTTGTTTGAAGACTGTCTAGGAAAAATAACAATTGATTGTTATTATGTTTAATATCATAATGTACGCATAGCACCGCAACAAATGGCCGTTGGTTATACCGAAAACCGTTCTGTTACGGTATTTTACCGTTCGGAACCCGATGTCGTATACCGGATCAGTGTGCAAGCTAAGACGGTACGGATGACGACGGTAAAAATACTGTCAACCGCAGCAGATTGGACGTGCTTTTTGGGTGATCTCAACTCACGCCCTTACCATTTTTATAGGTGTATTATTGCAGCCGATATAGTATTCGATTGTTAATTGTTTCACAAAGAATGTTTCTATCATTCGTATTAGCTATGGGAGGGGAGGGGAGGGGGGATTCGACTCCAGCGACGGAATTCCGCTGCTCACTCATGGGTGTGTTTTTAACGGTGCTAATTTATTTTCATGTTTTTATGATTGACGAATCTAACAGATTTATTTAAGTAGGCATTTTCTTCTGTTGTGTTAAAATAATACGCAATAGCGTATAATAGTGTACAGATTTAAATTCCGTTGATATACGAATATGAATCACATTTTGGTATAAAGGTTTTTGTTATCTATATAGTTTTAATAATTATAATTGTATTATTACAGTCAATAATATTCCATTGCGCATCTATGTGCAGGAATATTTATTTTACATTTTGTAACATTATAGGTCCTTGTACCTATTAAATATAAAGTATGTTGTACAATTCACTAAATAGTTGCTTAAATAATTGCTTATACTGTAAAGGTAACATTTGTTATTTTATTTCGGACGCTTTTAGACTTTAAGAAGATTATTAAAAGACTACTCCATAATCTTTCACAAGTTTGGACATTGGGCAGTGTTCACGAATCCGTTATTTATGTTTAAAACAATATAGAAAATCAATGGAACATTTATACCCAAGCGATTAAATTATTATATCTAATTAAAAATAAAATCAAATAGTTTACATTAGAAGATATAAAGTATCATCAAGAAATAGAGCATCTAAATAATGGAAATTAAAATAAAAATAAAAAAAAAAATACAATATTTTAACATTAATAAACATTAGAATACGCGTATTTTGTATTAACTGATATTGGAACTTATAATGCTATTAAATAATACCTATTATACTATTCGATATTCATATTACTATAATACATAATAATATTAACATAATTTTACTTATGTTTTGTCATAAAATCAGTGTACCAGGTACTGTACAATTTATTACAATAGATAATAATAGTTAAAAAATTGAAATCTAATTTTGAAGCGTTTCGAGGTACCTGGCCACCAAATAGGCAGGTAAGAAAAATTCTGCCAATCTGCCCCAACAAGTAAATACATAATAAAAGTATTGCTGCTAAAAAACTATATACATAGTACATACGCATTGTATATTTTAGATATATTATATAACATATTATTTTCTGTACGAAGTTATATAATACTAAATTAAGTTTTCACGGGAATACAGAGTAGTCAAAATATTACTACCATGATATTTGGTAATTAATGGCTAAAACTTTATTAATTCAAAATTTAAAATTCCTCATTTTAATAATATTTGATTTGCAGATAAGAAAATAATTTTTCAATACCGAATAGTGAACAGTCGCAGAGCAGAGCCAAATAAATTAATGGCCAATTCAGTATGGGGAGCCAAATTTCATAATAAAATAAAATGTGATTGTGATCAAGTAAAAATAATACATTCTTTTACTTATTCTTTTTTTTTTAAAATATAGTAGGTATTATTTAAATTGTTAAAAAGTTTATGTCGGTGTCCTTTTTTCATTTTAGGTACCTGGGGCGTGGTGATAAAGATAACCTCATAGCTTCAATCTCCCCCTTCTTTAATTCAGTTCTTTATAATTTATAATTCGGAGTTTAATGTCCGTTATGCCGAATTTCCTGACTCATCTTTGTCGTCAGTGGAATTTGATTGCCGTCTGTTCAACTGTTTCATCTCAAATAGAGGTTTATTATGACGTAACGATAAAAGGTCGTATTTTATTGATGATTTTAAACCAAAAAAAGTCACACACAATAAGGTTATAAACGTGAACATTATGTAAGCAATAGTGAAGATGTTCGGTAAAACCATTAAAGCTAATAAACCACTGGTTTCACCAGATTTCGTCATCGGAACGTTAATCGTTAGACCGAAACCTATCGTGACGGAAATCACATTCGGCAGTGGATTTAATGGAGGCAGCTGACAATAGATTTGGTTAGTTGTCATCGAAATATTAAGGCATTCAGTGGAGTTTCCGATGGATCGGATGGACAAGTCTTCAACGTGGTAACCACGTATTAAGTGCATACTGTTTATAGTAACGTTACAACAGCCGTCCAAAACAAAGTCCGAGAAAGTCGGGTCCGGGTACAGGTGGTACAGTGCCGAATTCGGTGGATTAAATATCACTGATTTTGTGGTTATATTTGCATAAAAACTCATAGGTATTACTTTTTTGGAATAGACCTCGAATTTGGGGGTCTCACAAACCATGCACGTGTCATTCAAAACTTGACATTTACCGTAATGACATGTGCAGTTGTCTCTGTTACCGACGCAGATTTTTGTGTGATTTAAGCAAGCAAAATGTTGGCCTCGTACCATAAGCCTTGTATTACCAGACATAATACCACTGAACTCTTGGTCTGCAGCTACAGTCGGGTATACCACGTATTCAAACAGAGTTTCATTGTATTCGACTATTCCATGGCCGACGTAAATGAGCTTTAATGGGCCTCTTGACAGCGATTGCTGTACCAAACATCCCGATTTGTTGATCTGCTGGTTTGAGTTCGTTTCACAGATCAGTTGATTTTCATGACGATCTATAATTTTACAATTTTTGTTCGCAACCAGTAACTTTAAAGGGCTGCTTGAGCCGAACATTTCTCCATTGATGGTTAGCTTAGTGCCACCCGTTGTGGGACCATAAGTAGGCCAAAATTTAATGATTTTGGGCTCGATGAAATTAAAATGAGTTTCGGATTGGAATTGCAAGGTTAGGTGTTTAAATTTAGCAGGTTGAACTGAAACTAACACTGGCCCTTTTTTCAAAGGAATTTTTTTGACCTCTGGTAGCAAAGGACAATAGATGGTATTGTTTCCCAAGAACGTGATTGGCGTACAATTGCGTCCGGCTATTGTGACAGTGATGTTGGGTGATTTATCGTTGATGAACAGCATTGTATGATTGTTTAGTTCGACTTGTAAGTTCGTAACATCGGTCCACGGTCCACATAATGGTTTAAACGACTTGATAGCTGTATTACATTTGTTTGTATCCAGTGCTATGTGATCCGTATCCAAGTTCGAGAGTTTTCTAATATCACAGAATTGGTTTTCGTTACTACACGTACACGTATTGTTTATATTCCTGGGATATTTCACACAGTATACCATATATTGATCGTCATTCCATGCACAACTCTTACAGATAACGTGGGAACAAAGGCTAGCATTGGATTTTTTTATGTAGTGCTCTTCAAATTTATTAAAAACCAACCGATTGTCGTCAAATACCACTGATATATACGAGTAATATATTGTTTCCCCATCGGTGATTTTCTGAACCAGACTTTCATTGGTATACAGGCGTTGATCAGAACAAACGACAGAGTCGTTGGAAACTGAAGCATTGAAATAGTCTTCGTCAATCTGACACATGAGTTTTTTTTCTTTTAACAATCCGATTAAATCATTTTGATCATTGGAAATTGTCACCATAGCACTGAAATTATCACCATGTTTTTTTTTAGTCAGAATTTTAAAATTTGGGCAAGACGACCTATTGGCCACCATCCTACTTTCTTTAAGATCGCTAGGAATCGTAAAATTGCTGTAACACTTTTGTTTTTCAATGGACCAACTGCACTTGTATACTGATGAATTTGTACAACTCATGCAATTCCAATTATTTTTGCAGTCCATCCCGTTTGAATTAAAATTAAACAGCAGAGTCACCTATAATCCAAACAAATATTTCTATTTAATATTTTAAAGTATTTTGGTTTAAATTTTTCTACATGTTTTATGCTAGTATAATTTTTGCAATATTTGCATTTTTAAGAAATTTATTCGGAAAATAATTAATGTAGAGTCAATGGAATATGCTGAGTAGACATATTTATAGGTAGATAAAAATGTTATTTTTTTATGTTTGGAAAAATGTGAATTATTCCTAATGAAAAAATATAATAAATAAACAATTGTGAATTCAGTTTGAAAATTATCGTATTCTCTGCTATTATTTTAATACATTCTGGAATTATATGAACTTTGTGAAATTTTAGATTTAATATTACTTATATAATTAGACATGATATAATACAGAGATTAATCATTATAAGAAACTTATTAACTCGGAAAGTTTTTACTTATTTAAAATAATTTTTTTGGACAGTTTAAAAAACAAGTAACTCTAAAATTATAATATATAACCGTAATTTTTCGTTACCTTTATTTTCGGGCAAAAGACAATCACACATTTTTGATTTTCAAGTAGCAATCCGTATTCAAAATTGCATGAATACTAAATGAATGATGTCTTAGTTTAAATACATTTTAGTGTTGATATTTTTAATTTCCGTAAACACGTTGACGAGATATTCTACTTTTTAGTTTGGGTACAGGTAGCCGATAGAGTATAGTAGAGCTCTATTCATATATCTCGTGACACACAATGTGCCACCACATTAATGATATTGCACTAGACTACTATTTCTGCCTGTTTAAACTGAAAAGTGAAATATCTGCGATAATTGATTTCACTTGAAGTGAAAATGTCAACACTTTTATGTATTTAAATTAAAATATTATCTATAAATGGTAGTTTTAATATAGGTTGCTTTTTTAAAAATTGGTCGAGGTTTCACTCCCAAAAATAAGAGTAATAAAAAATAATGATAATTTTAAATGTTGAGATATTTGGTTCGTAAACTGTTAAAAAAAAAAAAAAAATGCCGAAGAAAGTTTAGTACGGTCCGAGATAATAAGTGTCTTATTCAGGATTAATTTTCATGTTTAATATTTAAATATCTTTAAAGGTAAAATACCTTAAGTACCTAAGGTGGGCATATAACGTCATTTCAACATTGTTATCAGCCATTTTCCCCATTCTTTTTATATTATGTATACGATACCAGTACAAATAAGGCCGGGTGCACATCTGTACAGTAAAAAAAACTGCGATATTTCATTTGCATGCTTACTGTATTAACCTGGCTGTCTATTTCGTACTCTTTCGTGTACATCCGGCCTAAACCGTAGTATTAAGAATGGTCAATTAAAATTAAATCACAAATTTCGTTATAAATATTGCTCTTTAATTCGTTGACTTAACTGGATGTTAATGCAAATTAATTCATTTTTAGTTAATGTACCTAAAATAATTAATATAAAAATATACAAAAAGATAAAGTTAAGTTTGTCCAATTAAAACATAAATTAGTTAGGCTAATTAGATAATGATACAAACAATAAACAAGTTAAGTTAAAAATTATCGAAAAATGTACGTACCATTATAGTTGCTAAGGAACACCTATTTAGAAATGAATGGTTATAGTGATATTGAAACTTTGGTCGTCTGTCAACGAACACTTCAATTGTGATTCCCTAAAAAAAAAATGTAACAATTATAAATATATAAATATATTATTATAGTCGTAACGCGTAGGTAGAAGTATTTATATTATTCGATGATATGTTTTTATTTTTATTTTATTTCAAATATAAAGTATTCTCTAGAATAGCTCTACACCTATTGACATATAGTATTATACGAGTAATACCTTTACGGATACCAAATTTTAATACTTATGTATGAAAAAAAAAAACCATTTATTCGATTTTTTTTTAAGGAGTTGGACACACCTATTTTTCATGAGTTTTAAACCAATAATATGAGGAAAACTAGACATACTTCTCAATGTTCGAAGAAATGGGTTTGTTGACAATTTGTTTGGGTTATATAGGGAGTTGATTTTTATTGTTCAGTTTGAAAACCTCAGATTATTCTGTTATTTTTGAAAATTTCGTGGAATAATGAGATTGCATTTGTATTTGTTTTGAACACAACCATTAGTCCAATAGTTGCAAAGATAGAATAAATAAATAAATTTAATTGATGTCTGTTCACATCGAAAAATCATGGCTAATGAAAAATGATTCTAAGCGAAGTTCGGTTAAACATGTTTTGAAAGACCGTAATTTTTACGACTTTAGTTTAAATTTGAACTTTTAACTGTAGTACAATTCGCATTTTTTTTGTTTTACTACTAAGCAAAATTTATATTGAACGTCATGTTAAATTTTTAAGCATGTCAAATAATTTTAACTACATAGAATAGAGTGTCTCTATGTCTTATTTTAAACGGGATTGTCCTTTTTGATAATTATGTCACGTTGTTCTGTCAAACTTCGAATGGGGTGTTTTTGTTTCGTTTTTAAAAGTTATCCCCATTTCAAATGCGTAAAAGAAAATCGATTTATGAAACAAATACAATATTGGATGACATATAAGAAAGCTTAACATTCGTTTTGCAAAATACGATGAAAAAAATTGTTTCAATGAGCATAATCATGTATGTGTTCGATGTGATAAATGATAATTTAAAAGAATGATAGAAAAATTGTGTTCACGATGAAGAATTATGGTGTAGTATATAGGCTGATTTTTTTTATTACGAACTAGCAATTATCTCTGAAGATTTTAAGTGAATTTGATTTCTGTTTTTTCTGACCATTATGGAATCGATTAAGCTTTATTTTAAAACCATTTCTAATTTTTTACTCCTACTCTATATACCTTAAATAAGTGTATACTTTTGATTTCTCAATACGAATCCTCTCTTTTGAACACTGATTTGAATAGAGAATACTTTTCTAGAAATTTTGATATGCATCACACTAATATCAGATTTACCGTTTATGAGTTATAACAGTTTAAAGTTTGGACCGCAAGAATAGGAAAGGGTAATAAATTGTCTATCTATGACCAACATTTTTGGAAAAATATTCTCTATTCAAATTTGTGTTCAAAAGGGGGGGAGTTCTTATTTAAAAATCAAACGTATGCACTTATTTAAGGTATATAGAGTAGGGGTAAAACATTAAAAATGGTTTTAAAATAAAGCCCAAATGATTGATTAGATTAAACAAAAATCAAATTAACTTAAAATTATCTCAGAGAATTGCTGGTTCACATAAAAAAAATCACTCTGTACATAGAATCTTAAAAAAAAAAAACCCAAAAAACCAATATACCTATTTATCCATAACTTTTGGAGGATAGTAGAATATTCTTTATTCATGCCTGGAACTAATGCAAAAAACTAGTTAGCTCTCAATTAGCTCAGGTTAATACACCACGTTTAGAAAAGACTAGTATAAGTGACTTTTACACATTTAACCTGTCTACAATTTTTTGTAATCTATTATAATATTATAAAAATACCAATATGCTATTAAGCATTATAAAATATTGTACACGTGTGTACTTGTAGATTTTGATATTTTCCAAAGTACAGTAAATTAATAATCTCTAAATCGTATTATTTATCGGGGGAAAAAAAAGGACAAAAATATTATTTTTTCGGAAAACGAGTTTTTCCTACAATAATTAATGGATGGAATATCACAGAAATGTTGATTTATAACTAATCATAATGATAAAATGTGAACTCACGTGGTCCGGACCGATGTTCGCCATCGGTGAAACTGAACTGTGGTGGTGCAGGACTGATGACGGGGTGATAGACGAACGGGATGAACATTTCGGTGTCATTTTATTTCCAGTTTACTGGTTTTAGGATGGCATGTATTATGGTCCCGCCGGCTCGTGATGATCGCCTATACCTAAATTAGGTATTATCGAAGAATAATTTTGTACCGTCGGAACGGATGATAAACGTTTAATAGAATATTACGCCGTATATTACGATTAATGACAAAATATTATTACGTATACCATGATTTTTTTTTCCGTTATTCTACAACAATCCGCAAACAACCGTGTATTGATGATGGCGATGACGTTCTATGGCGATATAACACTGCAGAATTATTTACAGGAAACACTGACCTACTCTAAATGATGTCGCCGAAAATCTACATTAACACACTCGGCCGAATACATATAGTTATATTTATTCCAACTGACCAAACGCATAAACATTTCACAGGTGAGTTTTCCTAGCTCTACCAATTTCGATTTCTTTTCTTCTTCAAAAAATTGTTGCCAATAATAATATTTTAATTTGTACCAAATACTTTTAAAATTGTTTTCCTTGAAATTTTTCCAAGAAAAACAATTTTTCAAAAGCGTTGCTAGAGACATGTCACCTCCGTTCATACCTACCAAACGTACTATACATAACACTGGTTAACAAAATAATTATGAAGGCAGAGGAGACATTTAATGTTTATCTGTACGCTATAATCAAAAATTGCTTATGAAAAACAATTCTGAGCGGGGATCCGTTACACGTGTTTTGATAGGCCGTAATATTTACGATTTAAAAATAATAAATTTCGTAAATTTTCCCGTTTTTTTATGTTTTCTTCTGGTATTTCCTATTTATTATGAAAACTTCTAGAAAAATTAAAAACAAGATTCTTAAATACCTCCATCTCATTAAAATTTCCTTTCAGAAAAAGTACTGCACTTAAAAATTGGAGCAATATTTCTAATAGAAAAGTTGTTCACAGATAAAAAAAAGAATACAAAAATAAACATCATTCTAAAAACAATATATTCCTTGCTCCACTTAGAATCTAAAATAAACTATGAAGGAAAAATATTTATAACAAATACCGTATAAACATTTTTTCAAATTTTCACATAACGTAGAAAACAACAAAGATAGTTTTATTGATAATTCGTAATATTGTGAATTAAACTAAAAAAAGGTATGTTAAAAAGTCTAGATTAGTTTTTTGATAAATAACTATCAAACTCAATTTCACAGGATGTCTTTATATAGAATACATTTATTTATATTTGATGGGGAAAATAAAAACACATTTTTTTTTTTAAGAAAAGAAGAATTAGATTTTAACCATATAATTCTTGATTTTTTAGGAATTACTGATTATCTCAAAAACATGAGTGAATCTTACAAATCGGAGAACAGATTCGGAATTGGCAGCGAAATTTCTTACAGAATTCATTATCAACTTATTGACCACAAAAACTTTGTTGGCCAGTGTAATTATTATAGAAACCTATAATGAGCCTACTTTACAATTTTTATTTATTTTTTTCATCTTATCTTGCAGGTTGAAATAATATGTTTCCTTCAATCGTTTAATATAGGTCAAGTCCCTCCACCTTTCATTATTTGTAATCATATGGTGTCATCGGTAACGGTAATAATGAGTTCATAATACGGTCACGTCAGTGTTTATAACGTCTTTGTCTCATGATTCTTTTTAGTTCGTTTGTCTGATGTCATTTAGTCAACGAATTTTGATTGTATGCGTTTATTTACTTAATTGTTTGTACCTAATCATTTCCGGTATTTATTATATGGAAGACCTTGATTTGATAATCAGCCAACTCGATAATGTATACAATTCAGATACCTATTCTGAAAAACGCGATATTTAGAGAGCGAGATTTCCAAAGTGATTATTCCATCAATCCATTGATATCTAAATCTGAATTGTTAAGTACTCGTAGCTATTTATCGGGTTTGTATTAGATATTTATACCTTTGTGATTAGGGAATTAAACACAATAAGTGGTTTTCCTACGGTAAATTCTCAGAAAAAATTTTCGGGAGTAAAATTTCACTAGATATAATTTACCAGGAGTATAATTTCACTTATTATTTTTTTAAAAAATTTTCATTATCTGTTGTTTTGTCGAATGCATATTACTATAATATAGAGAGGACTTTACTTTGTTTATAATATTATCGATAGTTAATTCACTACAGACGAACATTTTATTTCATTCTGCGTAGTTTTACTGATATATGTAGCTTTGGAACTTGTATTTTTCAAATGATCTTTTAATTCAATTTATCTCAGACTCAAATCGAAATGTTAATATTTCTCGACAATTTCCATCATTTAGTTTGGAAGATAAATCAAATTCATTGTTTCTCAACAAAGGTCCATCATCTCGAATTTTATATTTTTTTGTAAATAATTAGATGAATATTCTTACAATAGTAAGATATTTTATGAAACTTGCTGATAATTATTTCTCCACACAAATACATTATCATTTTTTCATTTTTTTCATTTATACAACTATACACAATCCAGTAATGAAAAATTTGACTATAAACAATCAAATGTATAATAATATAATTATATATACTTATTTACATTATTTATTTAATTTAACTTATTTTTCTTTATATTAAGTATACAGCCTACAAGTTCCATCAAGGTGTTAGGAAGTTCTAAAAATAATTATAATAAGGTTTAATTTGAGAAGTAAATAAATAAATTTAACATAGTTAGTACTTATATAAGTAGGATACGGATTTATATGCACTTAAAATTGACAAAAAAGCGTTTAAAAACGTCTAAAATGCTCTAAAAAATCACTTAAAAAATATTTAAAAGAGCAATAAAGGTATAGGAGTCTAAAAGTTTTCCCCTCTATTGTTTATAAATTATTAAAAATAATTTTTTAACACTAAATAAATGTTAATTTAAAAGTAATTTTTTTCAAATGAATTTGTACGTGCTATAAAAAATAAAATGCTTTGTGTTAATTATTTATTAGTGTTAGAAAAATGTATTTAATTGTGTGAAAATTGTGAGAGTGGGGACTTCAAAACTCGTCTACTACTTTTGCTTTTTTTAAAAATATTTTTAAGTATTTAAGTAAGTGCTTTTTTGATGATTTAAGCACTTTTTACGAATTTCAAATACACATAAAATAAATCTGTGCTCTACTTATAAGTTATGACTGTCCTAAACTGGACAAATTGTCAAACAAATTAATTTAAGGGGTTAGAGGTTTAAAGGTTAGGAGTTGTAGCCCCCACATTGGCTTAAAAATACAAACAAATTAGAGTTATCTAATATCTAAATGCATATGTTTCAGCCAAGTTATAAGGAAAAGCTTGATGTATTGATTAGAAATTGGTTTTTTTTTCAGGATCTAGCTTTTAAATTATTTACTTCCAAAATCTAGTTGGATAGAGAAGACAATTTTATTATTTATTCACGATTATTGTTTGCTTTCCCCCGTTCCATTAGAAATTCCTGGGCACGCCACTGCGCGAGCGTATTATACAACGCCGCCCGAATTAACGTCAAACCAAATGAACCCAACGCGAACAAATTGTGAGTATCTTCGCGACACTATACACGGAAAAAATATTATTATTTGGATTCTTAACAATTTTCGTGTGTTTTATTTATTTGAACTTAAATTATTTTCTGAGCATAATATCATTTGGAATCATGATTATTTGAAGTATTAATTATTCGCTGAATATAGAATTCAGTGTTGAATTTAAATCATGTAGCCACGTTCCTTCAACTTCTTCGATCACTTATGTTCGGCCGTTATAATCTACTATTTAATATAATCAATATACACTAAATAAAATTATAATCACACTAAATTTCTTTAGTAATTTATTCAAATACTAATAATCCAAACTCAGGAAATAAAAAAATATGATTTTTTCGTAGACAACATCGAAATAAAATGTTGTACATTCTAATCTGAAATTTGAAAATTTCGTATATTGTTTAATAATAATATGCAAAATAATTTTTTTTTTTTATAAACTCTATGAATGATAAATCGTCCTCGTTGAGCTGTAAAAATAATAGTCAATCATTAATTATGTGAAAACACTGAAAATATACAAATCCTCTCTCTAGTTATTATATTGGGTATTATAGTTGGTGTGTATTTTATACTAAACTTCAAATAAAATATTTTACTGAATAACATAAAGTTATTTCTACAAATTTAGGTACTATATAGGTATTAGAATATAGTTTTCGTAAGATAATTTTAAAAATACAAATCAACAAACAATATTTTATAAATTCTATAATGGTTTATATAAGTAATCGATGCGTGGTTTTTCTAAAACAAAATGTATATTTTTGGTCCCAAACAACAAAGGCTTTGGTATAGATTTTAAAAAAGAAAATTAAATTTTAAAAATGCATACCTACACTAATTGTAGTAATATAAGTGTAGGCATGTACCTACATTATACATATACAAGTACTTATCCAATTTATTGTTAATCAAAATGGTCTAGACACTCTATCGTTAGACACTCTTCAGAAATATTCATTTTTGTGTACAAACTATTAGCTGTAATCTGAAATTGGTTTTAAAGTTCCCGCTTTTGATTCCAGAATTAAATCTACGTTTCATGTTCTGTTTAGCTTCAGAAATTACGTAGCTTATAGTCTGATGGGTCGTTTTCCTAAGTTATTTAACCAACTAACTAATTTTGATTTCAATTTTGACTCAATTACCACGTTGAGATCATCGTACATATGAAATTAATTATACTTATGATATAAAATTGTATTTATGTGTCTTAGTGTATTGTATTAGTGTTAAAAAACTCTATGTGCATTTACCCCTTGCGGATGATAATTATTATAAATAAATAAATAAACCAAAAATGAAGAGAAACAAATTACGTTAGAAACCATATTATAAAAAAATACATTACAAACATTTAATTTAGATAGCATATAGATATTATATAGAATGTGTTTAACTCAATAGTTTATGATCCACTATTTATAAATAAAATAACAAATTAGCAATAATAAACAAAATATTAAGCTTATAGATTAAAATATAAATACATATAATATAATATCATTCTTCGTCCAAACTGGCAGTGATATCTCGGAGTTGTTTTTTGTATCGATTTTCGGAAAGTTTTCTGGAATTTATCAGTATTGTTTTCAGACAGTATAATAGCCCCAACATCAAAGCTATAAACGCAAATGCCTTTGAAACAGTGCTGAGTGCGCTGACCAGTTGTGATGGATTACTCGAGTTTTCGAAAGGTTTTCTCATTATGGTTTTCGTTAGGCTCTTGCCAATGGTGATTAAAATGTCTTTGGCACCGAACACCAACTTAGGCGTCGTCGTCTTACATAAAATCGATTTTTTGGTGACGGCAAACACGGTACATATTGTGTCATTCGAGTTCGGTAACCGAATGATTATGTCGTCCATACGATAATCGTTGTACAAAAATACGCCGTTTATCGTAATCAGACTGCTGTTTACCTCGAAATCTGTGCAAGTCGGATCGGGATAGAGCAGATAATCAATCAGGTCGGTCGCATTTAATACAAAATTATGGTTTTGTTGTGTGTTCACTTGGAACGTCAGTGGTAGGATCGTTACCGATGACAGGCCCCGGCCGTTGAGGTTTGGCGTCTGACAGTTGATTATTTTCACATCATATTTGTATAGCAAACATTTACTTGGAATTCTGGTCCCGTTGTAGTCTACATACATTATCGGGTTTCGCATACAAGTAAAATCGACACCTTTCAACTTTATCATCAGCTGGATACCACCCGATGCGATTCCCGCGAACGTTTGTCCCGTCTCTATTGCCGGATCGTCAATGTATTTAAAATTTTTAATCTCTAAAACCGTTTTATTACCGAAGAAAATAACCACCTTACCGGATGTTGAATTGTTGCTGGGCCCGACCCGGCAGTCAATGTGATTACTATTGTGTAAGATTATCTCGCACGGTATCTGTGCATAATTAGTTTCTACCTGCACCTTAACGTTTTTGGTATAGTTTAGAAACTCTCCAGTCATGTTGATAATGCCACCTTTCGTGGTGGATATGCATTTTGTAAAATTATGATTTATCTTTGCTGGTACGTTGAATTCAAAATGTTTTACTGACCTGATGATTATTGGTGACTCTAACGCTGGTGGTTCTGAAAACCTGTACTCGACGATCACTGGACCGTTAGTCTTTTCCGGATTCGTTAAACGATGTACGGTACAATTTATGGTGTTATTCTTATACGTTTTTGGATTAACGCAGTTATTTCCGGCAACGCTTACGACAATTGTACGGTTTTGTATAAAAGCAAAATGGTTTTTAACGATTATAGACATATTCGTATCAAAATTCGTTCTGGCCATATTTGGCTCGAATGTTACAATTTCTGGTTCGTCAGGATGTGCTAATATATTTGTATTTCTTGTAGACATCTGTGATGAACAAACAAAAAAATTAATACAAATATTAAAATATATTTTAGTAGGTAAGTAGTATAATATGATTATTTTAACATGATATATAAATTTCTTGAAAAGTAATAATTTATTATTACTTTTACAGGGCGATTCACCGAGAGTGCTCACCTCATTTTTTCGGTTGAATTTTGTATATATTCAAATTCTAATTTTTGGAATTGTTAAGTGTATTTAAAGCCGATATTTTTGAATACTTAGATTTTTCACAAAATTTATTTTAAGGAGTGGCGATACTAACCTTGATTTTTCAAACAAGAACCTATATTAAAAATTCCATAAATTGATGAAGTATTTAAACAAATGTAGGGGTTGAAATTTTTGATTTCCGTTAAACTGTTGACGAGATGTTCTACTTTTAAGTTTAAGTAGAGGAAGAGTAGTGGAGTACTAATAAAACGCCGCGTACCGTGCCGCCACACAAATTATACTTAGTGAATCATCCTGTATAAATTACTGTATCGGCTATATAACTCTTATAATTATACAGAATAGGGTATTGCATAATACATATAAGTAAACATTTTTAGAAATACAAAGTAATTGAAATCGAAAGACACATAATATATATTTTGTTGCGTGAATAGGTATTTTATACTTTACATTATACGTACTATTGGAATAAATTATTCCTTGGATATAACAATATTTCAATTTACTAATTTACTTTGTCAATGTTTTATAAAATAATATACGAATAAAATACAATATACAAATAAATTAATAAAATATTATTTTATCTCGATTATTTTTTTTTTAGTGAAAAACTGCACCAACTTACTATAATATGCTAAATATTGCTATATAGTATGAACAAATTGTACAACTATCGTAAATATAAAAATACGGACATACTTCGCACGATGGGTGGACCACTGTTGCAGATGAGAAGTTGGGAAGGTAAAATATAGAGGGGAATTTAATGTATATGTGTTAAAAAAGATTAATCGTTGTTAACGAAAAACGATTATGAGCTGAGCTCGATTATTATATATATATATATGTATATATGTAGTATATTCAAATATACTGCATTAAATTCAATTTTATATTCTGAGTGGTGGGAAGGTGCTTATGTTTTTACAATGATGTTTATTTTTATTCTTCTGTGGACAACTTTACTATCAGCAAACTTGCTCTGATTTTCAAGTATAGTACTCTTTCTGAGAGGAAATCTGACTGAAGAGGTTCTTTAAGGATGTAATTTTTTGATTTTCTCAGGAGTTTTCTTAACAAATGGAAAAAACAGAGAAAAAACGGAAAAATAGGTAGAATATTAAACAAATATTATTAAGAAAGTATATAATGTTATTATTTTACCATAATATGACATATAAATTGTTGAAAAAACAACACTAATAACTCAAAAATGATTTAACGTTGCTTACAGATATACATTCAATTTCCCCTTTACTACCTTCCCAATTTCCTAACTACCTTTTTTGAAAAGTAATCATTTATTATTTATTTTAAAATATATAAACAAATATATATATACAGAGTGATTTAACAAGCGTGCTTATCCCAATTTTTTGGTTGAATTTTGTAGGTATTCAAATTTTAATTTTTGAAATATTTAGTATATTTAAATGCAATATTTTTGAATATTTAGATTTTTCATAAAATTTAAGAAGTGGTGATGCTAACTTTAGTTTTTTAAACGAGAACTTATATTAAAATGTCGTAAATTGATGGAGTATTAGTTTAAATAATAATAATTTTAATAATAATTTATTAGTAAAAATACATTTCTCATCTACAATAGTGGCCTACACATATATGAAGAATGTCCGTATTTGTTTTGTTTTTATCACAAATTACGACTTATAATTAATTTCCTGTGTCAATTTTCTAGCATTTCTGTTTAGTCTAACAATTTAGTCCACAGAGTACCCACCAAATAAAAATTATCCAGATAATTAAAATGTCTATAAATAGCTCAAATATCGCTGAAATGTTTTTACAAATTTACTACTTCTTGAAAAGATAAACATAAGGTCTCTGCCTAAATTTCAAGTTTCTATGAAAAATTTAATCTGAACTGTAACAAAAAAACAAAATTGAAAATAAAAACATTGTTTTCGTAAATTTTCCGTTTTCCTTACGTTTTATTCCAGGTTTTCCCAGATATTATAAAAATCGCTTAAATATCGGAGCAAGATTTCTAGTATACATTTTTGTCAGAGTTTTAAAAGAAAAAAGAAATAAACATCATCGTAAAACGAATACATTCTCCGTTACATACAGAATAAAAAAAAAAAATTAACTCCAATACAATATTATTATGTTAACGCTGTGAAAACTATGCACCTATGGCTAGTAGTCATATATTTTCAAAATTGACTGTACGTCTAAATTTTGGCCCTTAAATTTAATTTTTATTTGAGAAGTTAAGAATTGTATGTCGATAGTTGGAAGTGCTGGGGAGAAGTCCTCTTCTTATTTATTGTAAAATTATCAATTCCCTTTAGTTTAAGTTTTCGAAATCAGGGGCAAGTTTTAGTTAATGTTACTGAGACATATTATTTAATGAAATTTTAAAAACTCTAATTAGTTTTATTAAAAACACATTTTCGAATACATATTAAATTATACACAATCAAATTTTGTTTTACTTTATTTTTACTGAGCAATTATATACGTAGAAGAATAATATTAGAAGATGAGGTGTGGTTTATTTTAGACAAATATTTTTATGAATAAATGTATGTGTTCCAGTGTTTTTTAAGTTTTATTCTCAATAACACCCCTCAATTTTCGGTAAATAAAGTCCCCCTTTGAAGTTTTTTCTACTTTAACCACTATCTAAAGGAGTAAACCAGATTAACATTTTAAAGTATTGCAGTATTATAATTGTCGTACAAATGTTAAGTAAGGTACACTACTTACTATCATGACTGCAAGTACGAGTTTATTAACTGTCAAGTGTTTCCAGTGGTACGCTTTTTTTATAGGCCGTTTGTAGTTATACATTTTAATGGAATTCTATATATGGTCTCCTGAAAGTAAAAAATTATAATTAATATGACATGACATAAATATCGTGAAGCCCAGTATTTCTCAATCTTATTGTCGTGATCTCTTTGGGAGTCATTAACTAATTATTTGGAGTCACCAAAAATATAAAATATTAGGTCACAGTATATAAAATATGTATTTAGGGGTAACTAATAAATTTTATATTAATTTAGCAGGTCGTGACAGTAAATAGGTTAAGAAATTCTGGTGTAGTCTATTTTTACCTATTACTTATAAACACAAATGGGTGCTCACATAATACTCATTGTGTTTTAGGTCTCTATCTACAATAGGTATTATTTACCTATAATATAGGTACTATTTAAAATTAACTATTCTGTGGTTAGATGCCGAGCAGCCCTGTAGGGGCACTCTTTCTTTAGAGCTTTTTCATAAGACAATTTTTTTTTACAACACATTAAACTATTGAGCTGCACACTTTGTGCTCTAAAACACATTATTTTAGTTTTTGCTCACCGATTTTAAACTGTGGAATGGAGTTGATATCAATAAAAACTTCCATTTTACCATTTCTTAAAAAATTATGATGCCCTGATTATGTGGCATCCGGGACCTTCTCCTAAATTTTTCCCTCAATAGATACCTACCTTTTATATAATGATTTATCGTATATTGCGTTCAGATGTATATTAAAATACTTCCCATCTACAACAGTGATACGCTCATTAGCAGTATCAGCTCTTTTTTACTTAAGATTACTTAAAATAAATCTTCATATTGCTTTTAACTTCTATAAAGCAATAGTATTAGAAAATCTATAATTTCAAAGTTTACAATTACTTTATATTGACCACGCAGCGGCGTATTCACGATTTTATTTTTTGAGGGGGGGGGGGGGAGATGTTACATAAACAAAATTTAAATGAAATTTAATTGATCAATATCATTAATTTTATAGAAATTGTGTGCCTTTTGAAGGGGAGTGGAAACACTAAAAACCCCCTAAACCGCTCCCGTGAATATGCTATTGGGATTATGTATCAACTAAATCGATTTCACGTATTATATCAAGGAATTAGTTTAATAAATACAAATGACCAATCGGCATAATAATATTATGACATCTTATTAACCAGAAAAAAAAAATTGTATGCCTAATTTAATATTATATATTTATACATCTACACAAATATCATAGTCATATTACATAGTTGACATTAATACGAAACATAGGAAAATTAAAACTAATACAAATATGTATATATACAGGGTGTCATACAAAGATATACCCATTGCAATGTCTCATAAGATAATATAGATAATCAAATTCTGTTTGTTTTTTTTTTTTTTTTTTATATTATTCGCAGAGATAAAGAATACAAAGATTTATATTTGAGTTCGATTTTTATATTTTGATTAAAAATTTAAAAAATATCTCTTTTATTTTTTAAAGTTTAGAAAAAAGTATCTATCTATAATTATGCAGCAGGCTGTAATCGTATTCACTAATTTATTATTATTATGGCTAATTGATTGCATACTTTTTTCTCGGAACTTTAAAAAATGATATAAATCATAAAATAGAATAGAATAAAAAGTTGATATGTCAACATTTTCAGAAGAATGAACTTTATAAAATGGCTATCTTCAAATTTTTCGAACATAATAAAATAAATTTATTTTAAATTTTCGTAATATTTAATTGAAATATAAATATTTGTATTCTTTATCTCCCTGTGAGTAATATAAAAAAATAACAAAATTTGACTGTCTTTATTATCTTCGGAGATATTACAATGAGTATATATTCGTGGGACACTATATGTGTTTTTCGATTATTGTTATACAGAGTAAATCATTGGTCATGAACTAGTGATTCATCTATAAGACGTTGAGTAAAATTAATTTTGGTTTTTTACGTAGTTTTAAAAATCTAAACGGGCACAGATTTTATTCATACTTGTATTGGTATCCACTTATTGCGTGGGTCGTTTGCTATTCCCGTAATAAAGTGTTTTCCACGTCTGTCACATGCACCCGCAGTCGTTTTTGTATACTGCGACTATTTTGCGACTCGAATAACACAAGTCCAACGATATTATAATTTCAATCTTAGACGGCAGCGGAAACGCTACTTTCGTGTAATGCTTAAATTTAAAAACAAGAAAAACATTAATTGTAAAGGAACGAAAAAAAATAAAGATAAAAACCTGTGCTCATTAAAGTGTATACCTGGATAAAAGGTATAACGACGGAGGCAGTCTTTAATGTCATCACGCGTATCCATTCATCATTTCTAGCATTTTTTTTTTTTATGTAAACGAAACAGTATTTGAAATTCAATAAAAAACTGCAAATATTTACCAATAATATAGATCCAAGCGTGCAAGTATACGCTTACGCTAACCGGAACGTTAGGTACACCCGCTCGGTGTTGGTGATCGTCATCTACGTCTAATGCTAACCGCCGACAATATTGTGTTATTCGGAAAACCGTAAATCTATCGGCCGTTATATGTCTGGTGATCCCCACTATCGATACTTTCTGCCATCGTGATTTCGCGGCATTAATAAATAAAAAGACAATGTTGATACCGTATAGGCACCGCGATGAAAAATACTCGGCGTTTCATATCGGAACGATTATCTGAAATTTTGACACTATCAATTGGTCTTTAACATCAGACAGTTAAAATATTATAGTTATGAGTTTTGTCATAGGTAATATTATATTCAAGAGACGGTTCATGAATGTTATAATTATTATCATTTATATTATTGTGATCAAATTTTATTAGAGCAGACATTATAATAAATACGTCGGTCGTTACGCCACTTTTTATGTCACAGTCGAAACTGTAGTAATAACAAGGATATTAAAGGTACCGAATTGTATGAATCATCGCGTACTCGGCCGTTATAAAACAAACTATAGCGTGTTTTAGTAAACAGACATAAATTATTAAAAAATTAAAATTACGTTGTCATTGTACAATTTATTTTGTTATCAGTGGCCTTTTTAATGGACTATATTTTATGTGTAAGTAATGATTATATTTTCCTACGTAGGTACTTACTGATACAAAAGGTAATTATTTTTCTAAACAAATTTTATAATTATAATCATTATCATTATTTGTTTGTAAGATTACAAATATAGTTTTGTAATCATATATTGTATTGTATACACATAATTATAAATGTAATGTTTATCATTCCATCCATGAGAGATTGTTAAAAAATATTACAATTTAGTAGGTAGCTACTGAAGTTTTTTTATAATTCATATGATTTTGTGCTATAACTGAAATAGTTACAGTGACAGTTATATTATATTTTTAGTTGTGATAATATAAGTTAATAATGATTATAAACCGTTGTTCAAATCGCGGTTAGACCGCGATTATGACGATAGTCGATTATATTGATACTTGATTGTAATTTTATCTGTATTTTATATTTAGTGTTCATTGTTAAAAAGTATTATTAAAAAGTTCATGAACAATTTTCGCCCTCCTTCCTCCCCCCCCCCAAAAAAAACCTATATCCGCCACTGGTAAAAACCGCCTATATCTTATTCTTACATATTATGCGGCTAGACCCCGGTAGAGGCGGCCGTTGGCAATGGTTGCATTCTACATTCTATCGATGACGGCGTAATTATATAACATCACGTGCGAGCGAAAAATATATTAAAATTTATAAGGCTGCAGATTATAGTCTGAATCCCTCAAATAATGCCTCTGCTTGGCCCTTCCCCATAAGTATTTTAATTATTACCGGCCCCACGACGAATCGCGCATTTTTTTTCCGGGAAAGGAAATAGGTTGCATACAAATTTCAAAAATGTTAAACCGGTTTTAAGTCTGTAGGACAAAGTGGAGGCTAACCTAACGGACGTCGAAATAGGACCGTCATTGATTACGTCTGACAAAGAATTTTCGTTTTACCGTTTTCGGTGCGGTTTGTCTTCCGAATAGGACGGAAACGAATCTGACTTGTCTAGAAGAACTTGTCCAGAAGTAGAAGTTAATACCAACAACGATGAGTGAGAATCTACGATCGAACGGAGTCGAACGTCTGAAAGAAAAACCGACCACATTGATGTCGTTGATTCTGAAGCGAAACGGAAATCGCATAATCGTTGTCACTGAATACCTACAATATTTACCTTTACAATGTTTAAATGGCCGTAAACGGTTTCGAATTGTCTGCGGCTGATATTTCACAATACACTTCAAAACTGCCCTTTTCAAGGTCACCCGGACGAATGACGTCAACTATATTGTTACTGCTGTGTAAATGATTGATACCATACATCGAACAAATGTTATCCATTAAGTTAATATTAACGCCAAAATTAACGTTTTGATACATTGTTACTTTCTGTAACGATTTCTGTAATATTTTTTGTCACTAATTTATTTATTGATATACTTATTGTAATAAAAATTATACATTTTCATGTTCTTTACACAATTGATTTATATTTTTACTGTTGTTAGTAAAATGTGTTCGAAATATTTGTGCGATGTAAATGTTTTCATCTATTTAGCAGTTTATTCACGTAATCGTAGTTAGAACTTGGATTTCGATGCACCTTGTATTATTTTCTAAAGTTTGCTGTTTGTATCGTTGCATTTAATTAATTTCATGATGTACTTTTTAACGAGAATAAGACAATACATTTTGAATTGTTTAACATTTTAAGATTCGGAGCGTCATGAGAAACCTATCGGTTTTATTATGATGTGTGTTTTCAAAATAATTATAAATATCGAAAAAAGACGAAAAATAAATTTATGGCGTACGGTTTCATCATTATTTTAAATTATTACGCACAATTTTTTTTTACCAGAAACATTGCTCCAATAGAAAAACGACAAAATAATTTTTGTTTCATTTTGAATATAGTTGGTGAATAAAAACTTTGTAATACAAAGTCGTTTTTTGATTTTACCTGTAATTTTTTTAATAATTGAGCCTTTGTTGTAGATGAGAAGTTGGAAAGGTAGGATGTATAAGGTTATTTTATTTATATCTGTAAGCAACGATAAACCATTGCTTGACGAAAGACGATTACGAGCACAATTATGTAATAACTAATTTAAAGTGCCGTAATTTTTTTTGTTTAAATTTGATTTCAAAATGGTTATTAAAAAAGGAAAAAAGTCATCCGATTGTTTTGGAAATTTTACCACGTCTAGGTAAATTCAATATAAGTATTATTACCAAGTTTGAAGTCTCCACGTATATTTATAACCGAATTACAGCAACAAAACTTTCAAAATTAAAATTCCTTAAAAGCTCAAAAGTGGCTCAAAAGTTTTGACAATGATATTGTAAAAAATTAAATTAAGAATGCAACAAAAAAGGTATCTGGGGATTTTTCAATTAAATCATTTTTTCTGGTAGAAAACGTCCGTCCAGGTTTTTTATAAAATAATGAAATCATGAAATTGTACGTTTTCATACATTTTTTTTCACTTTAGTGTTTTTATTTAAAAATAGCGTCGAAATTCAATTTCAATTTAAATAACTTGAGCTTTTAGAAAAGATGCTACACGTAAAAATCGAAGCAAGTGTACTAGGAAAAAACGTGTCCACAGACTAGAAAAAAAAAGAAAGAAAGAAAAATAAACATCTTAGAAAAACCAATAAAAATGTAAAATTAACGGGAAAAATTAGGAATACGAAAATAATTTATTGTTTTCAAATTTCTTTTTTGTTGTGATTCAGTTTAAAATATTGTGTAGAGACTGGAAATTACAGCAGAATACTTATATTTGTCTTTTATAGACGTGGTCAAATTTTGAAAACATTTGAGCCATTTTGAGTTCTTTATAGACATTTTAATTTTGCGAGTTTTTTACGTAATTTTTATTCGGTAGGTACTCTGTGGATAAAATTGTTAAGCCAAACAGAAATGCTTGAAAATTTAACAGGAGGTTTAAAAAAAAATGATTGTAATACAGTAATTTTTTTATAGGAATTCTAATAGAAAATGTCAATGAAAACCGTAAATATTATGGTCATTTAAAACATGTATAATCGAACTTCGCTTATCTGTGTGACCTAATACCCGTGCGTCCGTAATGGTACGCCAATAGTTGAAGGATATTCAAACATGAAGGATTTCAGATATTTGAATTCCGTTTTCCGTAATCCTATACAATTTCAATATATATTATTTTAAAAAAAAATTTTAAATTACATACAATTTAAGACACCCTGCATAACATAATAATAATTATTAATTATTGTACACATTTATTAAAAATTCTTTTCACTGCGTCTTCGGCTTTTGTTCCAAATATTTGGGCTTAGAAATATATAATATAATACAATGTAGTAATCATAGTACACAATTTATGCGCATAATGTATTATATGCACTATTTTGTAACAATTATGTAAACAGTAAACTTCATCAACGAAATATTGTTTTTACTCCGAGAGAAATAAAAATATTGCAAAAAGTTTGGTTTAGACGTATTATGTAATAAATTACAAGTTAAAATCATAATTTCAATATATTATTGAAATCAAATTATTGCACTTGCTTATCCATAGTTTGTAGTTCGGAAATGTGTTAATATGGATCTTCAAAAAAACTTTTTAACGCCGTATTTTCTAATAATTCATCATGGTCATCTTTGGATAGTTCTTTCCGGTTTCTTGAAACTTTCACGATGGGTCGAGATTGTTGTTGACGACGATGCGATGTTAACAAGTCGTATTTCATTGTGGTATACATACCAAAAACGACCAAACAAAATAATACTATGAATGCAAATATTGAGTTGGCTATGATTAAGACGATCGGCGAGAGATTTGAAAATGTGATACTATTGAAATATCCTAGTTGCGTTAACTTCATCGTTACGATATACGTCGTCAGACTGTTACCTATTGTGATGGAAATATTATCATGCGAGTATGGATCTGATGGAGGAAACTCACAAGAGATTTGATTAGTAGTCATCGAAATGTTAAAACACACAGTAGAGTTATCAATAAGTCGGACGGACAAGTCTTTGGTTGTGTAACCGATTCCAAGGTTCAAACCATTGATTGTGACGTTGCAGCAGCCGTCCATGGTAAAATCCACGAAAATCGGGTCTGGATATAAGTGGAAGGGGGCCGAGTCTGGTGGTAAAATAAACTCAACCGGTTTAACATCTTTGTGGTAATAGGCTTGAAAACGTATGGGTTTTATCTTTTGTGTGGAAAATACAGGCTCGAATTTGGGAGACAGGCATGACATGTACGTGTCATTCAAAACTTGGCAACCACCGTAGTGGCGTACACAGTTGATACTGTCGCCAATACAAATTTTGGCTTTTGTTAAACAAGAGAAACTTTGCCCTCGAACCAGCAGGTTGGTACCTCCGGACACGAAGCCACTGAAATTTTGACCAGAAGTCACCATCGGGTCGGCCACAAACCTAAACAAAGTATCTTTGTATTCGACCGAATAATTATCGACAATGAGCTTAACTCGGCCTGACAGTAGATTCGGTACCATGCTTCTTGTTTTGTTGGTCAGCTGGTTTGAATTGGTGACTAATAAAGGTGTACCCGTTATGCACTTCACTTGATTTTCACTCTGGAATTCTATCTTGCAACTCACGTTGTCCGCGATCATTACTCGCGATTCGTTTTTTGAGCCAAAGAACTCTCCATTAATGGTCAGCTGTGTACTGCGATATGCGGAACCGCAAGTTGGTTCTAAGTTAGTAATTTTCGGGACGAGGAATTGAAAATTGCTGTCGGATTGGAATTTCAAAAAGATTCGACTAAATTTGGCTGCTTGAAATGTAACTATTACCGGCCCTTCATTCATGCTGTTAATTTTACCGTTTGGTTGTAATTTACAACTGACTGTACCATTTCCAAACGATTTGATGGAAAAACAGTTTTGTCCAGCCACCGCGATCTCAACAGGCATTCCGTCGTTATTGAACAGCATTGTGTGGTTGTATAGGTCGATCCGTATGTTCGTGGCTTCAGTCCACGGTCCACGTACCGGTTCAAACGACCTGATAACTATGTTACATGTATTTTCAATTGCTATTGTCAAATTTTTAGTATTCATTTGTTGATCTGACAGATTCCTAATATCGCAGTACTGATATTCTCTACTCTTCGGGCACGTATCGTTCGCCGAACATCTCACACAATGTACCATATTATGATAATCGTTCCAATTACAAGCCTTACACGAAACCTTTCCGCAAACATTACCGTTATTTATTTTCACGTAGTGTTGACGAAGATTGTCAAATACCAATCGATTTTCGTCGAAAATGACTGATAAATAAGATATCTTTACTTGATCGTTGATATTCCGAACCAGAGTTTTATTGGCCGCGAGTTCGTCGGAACAATAGATTATATCTTTGTCAACTTTAGCATTGAAATAATCATCATCAATCTGACACACAAGTTTACTTTTTTTCAATAAACCGGTGAAACCAGTTCGATCGTTAGAAATCGTCACCATTGCTTTACACCCAGCTTTCCTGCTCGTCTCAACTGTGAAATTCGGGCAAAGGGATCCATGGGTTACCATTAGATTTTCAGTCAAATTAGCGGTCACCGTGTTAACGTAGCACTTTTGTTTATTGATGGACCAACTACACGGCGATGCGTTTGTACAATTAGTGCAACTCCAGTGATCTGCGCAAACTATTCTATTTGATGTGGGTTCTGAAATAAAATCTTTATGAGATACTCCGTTTTTAAACAGTAAAGCTACCTATAAAAAAAAAAAAAAAACATGTTTATTATACAATTTGTAAAGGTATTAGAGTTCTACGTGAGTCTATATTTTGAGACCCAGCCGGTTCGTCCCCTCAAATGAAAAGTCAGCCTGGCCCGACCCTACATTAATATATTTTATAAAACCGAAACTCTCCTGAATTTAAAATTATAAATAAAACCTAAATAATTTCCATCAATTCATTGAAGAGATATTCCACTTTTAAGTTTGGGTAAGAAGAGTGTTGATTAGTGAATAGTGGTGATTATTGAAACGCCGCTCGTCGTGCCGCCACATAAACAATGATACACCACTCTCCCCCTACCCAAACTTAAAAATGGATTATTTCGTCAACAGATTGACGGAAATTAAAAATTTAAACACCGAAAATAACTAAACCAAAAACTATTTCAACTAATAATTCATCTATTTAAGGTATTCTCGATATAAGTTTCCATTTGAAAATAAAAAGTAGGTTGTTTACCCCCGAAAATAAGGGTGACAAAAAAAAAAATAAAATGATAATGTAACGTTTTAGAACTATTTGGTTCTTAAGTTTTTAAAAATAGGGTTCAACGATAAAATAATCACCTGGTTGGTATACGGAAAGAGGGTAAATATTGAAAATATCATTGACAAATAACATGTATTTTTTTTTCGATATAAATATTGCTGTATAAATTATTTAAAAAATCAAAATCAAATTTATTCAGAATTGTAGATAGTTGTTAGTTAATGATAAGACGGCTATTCTGCGTGTAATATTTTTTCACGAAATTGTACTTGGGATCTATATTATTTTGTGATTGAATGTTTATAGGTTTAGATTTGTACGAAATGTAAAACGTTTTAGCAATGTAATATGATGTAAATATTAACTATAACGTATAGTGAAAGTAAGCCCGTATTTGTGTAGCAATTAAATAACGAAAATCCCGCACGTTTAGATATTGTTCACTGCTGTTCGTATAATAATCTCGAATTAAACGTTTCATTTAAATAACGATAATAATGTTCATTATAGCGTTATCGTGTATGAATTTATAACAAATTTGATAACAATTGATAACAAAAAGGTGAGATAAAAAAAAATCATATAAATAACAATAACGGTACCATTATAACCAACTTATAAACGAATGAAAAAAATTTGTTTTCATGACTTTTTATGTGGGCGATATATGTGTATACTTTGTTACGTGAGTTTTCTTTTTCATTATTTATGTAACAAAATTATATTCCTATTGTATTTATTTTAAAAATAAATTTCCCGGAATAGATTTACTTTTATTTGCGTCACGCGAATTTTTAAGTAATTGCTAATAACAATAAAAATATTACAACCGCATACATAGCTCGAATCATTAATCGTTTGAACATGTCAGGATGGCCGAGCGGTCTAAGGCGCCAGACTCAAGGTTCCCCTTGGCCTACTATGTAAGCTTGATTTGAGCGTTCTGGTCCTCATCTGAGGGCGTGGGTTCGAATCCCACTTCTGACAAATTTTTTTTGTTCGTTTTTAAAATATGTTACAGTGTTTTACGCCCTGTATGATAGTACGAGAATACGGTATAGAAATATTATTATGGTAAAATGGAAAATATATATTTTTTTTACGCCATTTTCTACATATTTTATTCAAACAAAAATTTTTTTGTATTCGTAATTAGTTTTATTTTATGCAATAGTTAATTATTTCACATATTATTCAATAAATTATAATCTTAAATTTTTTTTTATTTACATTGCTGGTACATAATATTATTATTTTTAAACCGTGATTTATATTTTGAGAAATAAAAAAAAATGACCGGCAATATTAACATTTTGATTGTAGAACTAAATCGTAAAATGGTAAGTGTAACGAACCGTCTGTTTTAAATGCCTACTACTAATTATACATCCGTGTATATTATAAACGATTTTATGCCATCGTTGAAATGGTAGAGTGATACTACACTTCTGTAGAAACGTTTATGAAAGCGGGACATGAGTACGTGACAGTAAAATAGAACGATAGTCGCTATATAATGTTCCCATGTTGTACAATTGTTACGATAGTAATTGTTATGCGTGTATAATAGTGCGATAGTTCCTTTCGTGGTTTAGTTAAATAGTTATTGTCGAACTGTTCGTAAGACAATAATTGATGATAATAATTAATAACTATCAAGATTGCGATATCATCGTTCGGACCAGGATTTAATTGTAAAACAATAGTTGGCTATAAACAATTACCAGATATAATGCGCTCAAACACCACAAAGATTATTGTGTAATTGTTTCATACTGGGATATTTTGCGCTACGGCCTATACTACCAGAATTTGAATACTAATTGAATGCAATAACAATGCATAACGCACATTACCCTTACGTTGTCGATTGCTCGATTTGTAACGATTTCAATTCAATACTCTTGGATGCAGTGAATGTGCGGCATCCAGAATTCGGTTTTAGTATTTTTTTATTGTTATTTTTTCAGCATAGTATAATAACGACAATAGACTAATATTCTGTACTCACCATCACAACTATAAATATTCCATTACTGAAAAAATGATTCCAATAGCGTGCCATCTCGTTATAATTTGCCAGGAACCTGTAAAATCGAACGTAAAAGATAAAATAAACATAGGTTTAATGTAACAATAATAACAACAACAACACTGAATTTAAAATATATTGCTGGTTACTGTCGAAACTTAAATATATATATATATATTGCCTAAGACCAGGGGTGTATTTAGTCATCCTCTTAGGGAGGGAGGGGCGAATTGGCGAATCAGTTTTGTTTTTTTACCACTTACCCATAGATAATTACAATTGGTGATTTTTCGGCATCCTTGAGCGTAAACGGGAGGGGAATGGAATCAAACACCCATTTTTGCATCTTTGCAGTTATACGTTTTATCAAACTAAAGGTAAATTTACTTCTGAAGTAAAATATAAAAATTATTGAAAAATTATAATTCGTGTTCTTGATTTTTGAATGATTAAACCTGTAAACCTGTTTAATATATTTTTTTTCTACCCAAATAATTTGTTTATTTATTATATATATTATTAAAATCGGGGAGTAAAAATGTATAGGAAAATTCCATTGCACGAAAATGTTTTCATTTTTTTTTCGTTTAACGTTTTCTTGTTCAAAAACGTTTTCAATTTTTCGTGTAGCGTTTTAGTTGGTTAGGTTTATCAAGTAAATTGACTTGCCTTTTTATACGGACATTTTTTGGCATTTTGTAAATTATGTTACCATTTAAATTTTATTTTGGTTTTAATTTTATGTAACTTTTAATTGTTTACATAGATAATTAAATTCAATATTATTACAAAATGCACTTACTATTACATATATTAAAGCGTTTAACTATATTCTGTAATCATAGGCTTGCACAGACTTCTGAGTCAGCTATAGCTAAATTTAATCTACGAGTCACCCCTCTCTCGTGGCACATCTCAAAGAAGTTAGAACATTTTTCGTACAAACTTCGAGAATGACTTCTTATTAGTAACTGGTAAATGTAAACATACATTTTTAGTGAAGATCGTGCATAAGATTCATCGTCATCAATATGACCAATAATTTAAGGAAATGTTACCGAATAAAATAATTAAAAACGTTCGAAACGTACAGGTCAGTGTCCGCAACCAGAGAGCTGTTTTAGGCGTTTGAACAATCCCCTACATCCGAGTTTAATTCATATAAATGTGGTGAAAACGTGTTTTTTTTTAAATGTAGACATAATATGACAAAAAACCCTGGTTGCACCATTGGTATAGGTATATGTACTAAACATACAGTGTAATCATACCTATGATTTTGTAAAATATTAAAAATTAACGTTAACATTAGTTTAAATTTATTAATAATTTATACAATTTTTATGTTCTTCAACAATTAAAAAAATACATGCATGGGGCTGTCTCCTATCTGATTAAAACAAAATGTCTGAGCATATTAGGTATACTTTATGTTTTATACTATTTTTCTACAACTTTTTGCTATTAAATTTTTAATTCGTTCCCAGTGGCGAATCCATGGGTAAGGGGAATAATAGTTTTTAATAATTTTATTTAATTAACATTTATATAAAATTTTGAAAATTGTATTATTTTTTATGTATTTATTTATAAATAATAAACGTCCAGTAGGAATGCAGTACAAATATAAATTAACTATACAGGGTGATTTTTTTTATCACAAACCAGCATTTATCTCAGAAGATTTTAAGTGAATTTGATTTCTGTTTTTCTAATGATTATGCAATCGTTTAAGCTTTATTCTTGAAACTATTTTTAACCTTTTACAGATAGATAGGTTGTAGATAGGCAGTTTACTGCCCTTCTTTACTCCTTCGGTCTAAATTTTAAACTGTTATAACTCATAAACGGTAAATCTGATATTACTGTGATGCATATCAAAATTTCTAGAAATATATTTTCTATTCAAATCTGTGTTCAAAAGGGGGATCCTGTTTGAAAATCAATGGTATACACTTATTTAAGGTATATGGAGTAAGGGTAAAAGGTTAAAAACGGTTTTAAAAATAAAGCTTAAACGATTCCGTAATGATTAGAAAAAACAGAAATCAAATTCACTTAAAATCTTCTGAGATAATTTGTTGGTTCATGATAAAAAAATCACTCTGTACATAATAAAGATATACAAATATAATAAAGTACAACAAATATATTCTTCTGTATTCTGATTTTTATACCGGTATTTGACGAGGGGGAAGACAATTAAATTTAATACCATAATATTATTATAATAAGTATCACGCCTTATGTACTTGAATATAGATTTGTCGATGTTTTTCAATTGAATATCCATATTTGTAATCTCAACTCGACCATATAAATTAATATTTTAATTTCGGATATTAATTTTAAAAAATATAACTGTAGCCGTTGTTAATTATTAATCATACTCATTTAATAATATTTTAGTGGCTGCAGTTATCGTATTAATGTATACCATACGTATAATAATTATAATATTATATTTTAATTCCAGTAGTACTGCAGTGAATCTGGAGTGGTATAATATATTAATTTCAGACTACTTATTTAAAATAAATTATTCTTCAGTAATAATTAATAATAGTTTAGATAATTGTTATTTTAATAATTATTCACTTTCGTAAGTCATCTAACATAATAAAAACGCATAGACCATCCTATATATTTTTAATTCACTGTAATTTATGTTTGTGCAACATTAAATTAATAATAATAATAATAATAATAAGGCCATGAAAATAATCTGTTCAATATTTTTGGATTGCGATGTAATATTAACATTTTTAATAGTTTTGATATTTACGTAGATAGATAATAATATTGAATAATGTATATAGGTACCTACAATATTTTTAATTTTTTAGACTCGAAGGGGAAATGTTAATGACATATTGTAAGCTATATACCTAATAATTCATTATTTATGCACGCCTTAAGCCTGGTCCACGTGGAGATAGTCTATACTGCAACTATCGCAATAGCAACTATCACAGGTATAGCGCACGATGATGTATAAGAGTGATAATTTAGTGAATTTAGATATAGAAACGTCTGTGTCGTTACGGCAGTAAAGTATAAAACGATATTTATATGCGTTCACACGGTGAGTTACTATCACCGTGTGACAATAACTCTTTGATGATACCTAGTCATTAATAACTATTGAATTATCGCGAAAGCTCCTAGCTATTTAACTATTAAGCATACACGATAGTTTATGGTTACTGTTTTTGTTTAACCATAATTCGGTTGTCTAAAAGGGGGATTTGTCGATGAATCTTTTTTTTTTAATTGTTTAAAATTATTTACCTACTAATAGAAAATAATTTGAATTCATTTACATGAATTTTACTTTTATATTTATGCTATTAAAACAACATTTACAACGTAATAGGAAAAAAATGTATTTATTTATAATATTACAGTTTATTTTTAAATTTTAGGTGCCTAAACGAAAAATGATTAATCATAAATTTATAATAGGTATTATATATTTTTCAGTAATTAATATTGAAAATGTTACCAACCAACTAATTGTAAATATCGTAACTCGTGTAACTATCCATGTTGCACCATATGTATTTCCTGGGGCCCATCTTCACGATATGCTTGTAAGGGAAGAGCTTACCACCCCTATATGTTACTTTTTTTTTACTATTTTACCAAAGTTGAAAAATGAAAAATGCACTGAACCGTAACGAATATTTTTTTAAGTTTTTTTTTAAATATATATAATACATAATACTATAATACATATAGTATGTTTATATGGTATATGGAACAGTGATGATAAACTTTTTTCTTTATGAAAATGTTAATCGGAATTCCATTGTAGTTCATTTCAAGCGCTGATTTAAGCACGTACTCGAGTATAAACATAACTTAAAAGTAAAAACTAACTGTAATTTAATTATTTTTACATAGTATGTATATTATACATAATATGATAGCGTTGCCAATTTGTCAAAGGTACATTTATATTACGTATCAAATCACACGTAATTTGTGTAGCGAATAGCGATGTCAAAGAATTGTAATCAATCTCGACTGGTTTTTTGACAATATCAGCTATATGTTATAAAATAGTTTTTATTTAAAATTTCAAGATTAATTTTTTTTTTTCGTGAGGGATTAATAAACTATATTAATAACATTTGGGGAAAACTAGGAAAACTGTCAAATGTACGGTAGTAAAAGTTTGATTATTTTCGATTTTTTATTTTCCTACCAGAAATCTTGTTCTGAAATTCAAGTGTATCTTTTTCTGAAAGAATATTTTGTCTAGTTGGTGTATTATAAGAAGGAGTTCGTTTTTTGTAATTTTCTCAATAACCAGTAAAAACTGGGAAAATAAAAAAATAAGAAAAACGAGACATCTTACAGAAATAAGTTCTTCAATATTTTCGATTTTGTTTTTTTTTGCAATTCGGTTAACAATAATCGTAGAAACCTGAAAGTTTCACATATTTAGCCTTTTATAGACGTTGAAGCTAACTGGTATGTTACTTACCAATTCTGATTCTAATAGACCTCACTATATTAAAGACGAAAACACCATATTTGTACAAAGTGCATTTTAGTATTTAATTCCTAGATAATCTATTCATAATAGAAATTTTAAATATAATTAAAAATTTTAAAAAAAAATTCCTCTGTGAAAATATAGTCAATATTTTCGTCTGTAAATCTGTGAAAAATTGTGTGTTTTTTAGTATATTGGAGCCTGAGTATTTGAAATTTTATGTACACATTTTCGCTACTGTATTGGCCGTTAGACGTTAGAAAGGTAGAAACAGCAAATGCCACCATGATAACGTCTTTTAAGATTTTTAAATATTACTAAATTGTAAATTTCTAATATAATAATTATACCTCATATTTTGTGATAGTATCTACATAAAGTATTCATCTGTTCAGTCACTGCGGTTTTTAATATTGCATAAAAAATCGACAAATTGAACGTATTAAAAAATGTATGGGTAGATAAATAAATTATTTACGCGTTCAACACAACTAAATAATTAAACTTCGCGTCGACGTGATATTAAAAAAAAAAAAAAAAACTTTGTTCAACGTAAAACAAATACAGTGGCGTTTCAAAAATAATATGTCGATATGTTTATTTCTCCTTTAACACAATAGGTAGGTACTGCTTTGAGCACGGGCATATCACTGTTGGTTTTGCTCGCGGGAAATAGACTATTAGATTCGAATTGTAATGTTATATATAACACATGTATGTGTATTGTATACGCATCTTTATTATTTGTTTAATTCGTGTCTGTTCAATAAAATGACGTTATCGTCAAGATTTTATTTCTTTTATAATTGTTACGGATTAACAATTATAACGGACATTATTTTATTCATACAATAATATTATTACGGTTGAATTAAATAATATAATAACATATATTGTAACCGGTAATTAATTTGATTAGTATCTATTTGTACTATCATTGATTAAATATACACGCATGTATATATTTTAAACGATGGTTGGTTACGAAAATAACGATTATTCGGGAAATCGTTTTGAAAATTACACATACATTTATACACATATAAATATTTAAATATACTGCCGTAGGTATTTCCTTTGTCCTCGTGAAAACGTCTTTTTACCGTCGTTTATATCGCCTTCTTAGTGTTATCCACCGCTAGGATTAAAATTTTCAGCGTGACTGCTATAGTGATTTAGAGATTCCACGTCTCCCTCCCTTCATCACTTCTTACCGTCTAAAACGGGGCTTTCGAAGAGGTCTGTCCTCTTCAGGGTGCAGGTCTTCCATTAGGTACCCACATGCTTAAAAATTGGTATCTGGTCATTTTAGTGAATGGCGATTCGGCGAATCGTTTTCGGTGAACGGATATATCGGCGAAAACGTTTATTTATTTAGAGCAAAAAAAAAAAAAAAAAATAATAATAAAAAAGAGCTGATACTGGAGCCGGGAGTGTTACTGTTGTAGATGGGAAGTTGGAAAGGTAGGATACACAAAGTTGTTTTACATATAACTGTAATTAACGATAAACAATTCGGAGCGAAATTCGGTTATACATGTTTTGAAAGGCTGTAATATTCACGATTTTCATCAAATTTTATTTTGGCCACCTAAGTTCCCGGTTGAAATGAAAATCTACTTACGCCAATACAACAACGAATGTTCCATCATCCGATCAATCAACACATATTATCACAGCATTTTTTGATGAATTTAATTTTCAAGCATTTTTTTGTAGTCTAACAATTTTTTCCACAGATTTTATCCAACAATTTCATACATTTTATCCATTTAACTTACCTACCACAAAAAAAATTACGTAGGAAACTAGCGAAATTAAAATTAAATAGCTCTAAAAATAACTCCTTCCTGTGTAAACGGCACGAAAAAGCGCCTACAGTTACTAAGACGGTTTGCACGACGTCCAGTGATTCAGTTGGCTAGTCAGATTTGCCAACTATCCGACGAGGAGATTCTGAAGTCACTAGGCAACGTAGTTCTGCGTTGATCACCTCCTTCTCTTGCTTCTATAATCGGACGGTTACGTCTTCGATTGTGTAGCTGAAAGAGTAGTTGTCTCTCTTGGATTCCAAGCCGTTTATCACCACGGCTGCTTATTTGTTATTTTATTCGTATATTTTATTTGCATATTAAATACAAATTATAAGTTAATAATTTCTATGAAACGAAACATTCATTCTGAGGAAAACTTTAAAATAAATTAAAATTAGCTAAATATTTAAACACACTATAGATTCAACATAAGTAAAATTAAAAATTTAACAGTGAAAATTGTAACGATTGGTTATTAAAAGTCTAAATTACATTTAATTCATTGTAAGGAGCTCCACCTGTCAATAAAAAGTAATTTTTTTTAAACAATTTTTGATATTACAGATCGTTGTTTTTAATCACGTCCCGTATGTCTACTACGTCCGATTTCGGCTCAGTAAGGTTCGTAACACATTGTGATGGCCGGTGGTAATCAACGACCGGGTCCGTTTTTATGGTATACCGTTTCGTCGTTTTCAACCAGAACACACACAAGAAAATGATACCAGCAAAAAGAGACAGCGTAGAAATGGCGATAACGACATGACATACGGTAGACGGTCCCGACGAGTGCTGGACGGGCTTTCTGTGGACACGGCATGGGAAAGAGCCAACAGTGACTTCAACGGTTCGCACGGCGTCCAGTGATCCAGATAAGGAGTCAGATTTGCCAACGACCCGATGCGGAGAGACCGTAATAACGAGACAACTTATTTCCGCGTCCGGCACATCCGCTACCTCCTTCTGATTCGGTAATCGGACGGTCACGTCTTCGACCCGGTAGCCGATTGGGCGACGGTCTTCCTTCACCGCCCAGCCGTATATCACCGCCGAGTCGTTTGTCGTCTCGAAACTGGCGTACACTGGGCTGGCGTCGGCAGTGTAACCCACGCACAGGGTTCCGCATTCGATTAAGGGAATCAGGCAGGGAGTCCTGGTATACTCTACGGAACCATAAGTCACGGCTCTGAAATCCTCTCCCGTAAAGTTACATGCAATATCAATTTTTTTTCGAGAACGAGTTTAACAGAGGATAAGAGACGTTTGATATTCGAATCTAATATGAATACGGTGTTTCGCTAATAGCGAAGTTTTCAATAACCAACAACTTTGGACAAATGGTGTGAATAAAATACAATTGTTTCGTATATTACTGTTGACTCGTGAGATAATATGCATTTTTGTACAGCCAAATTCCATTTGCAATTAAATCATTCAATGCACGCCTCGCAAAAAGTGTAGTCTGAGCAATTAAACGGGTAGCTAGGCACTATACACCATAGGAACTGTAAAAAATATAACGATTTTTTAAAATTATTTAATCGTACACAGGATAAAGGAAACAAAAGCAAGTATTTTAAATAAGTGTGCATTATAATTTTTATTCTGTTTGATAAATAATAATAAGAAAAATACGTGAAGAAAATTTACAATAAGAAATTAGAACTGGGTAGAGACATGCAATTTGAACTATAACTTTTTAAAAGCGATTTGGACATAATGATAGTGGCTTGCACATTGGAGAATATCTTCGTTCGGATTGCTTGACATGAAGAGGTGTGAAAGTTACGCATGTGGTTTGTGTACACACTATTCTGACGAGTCCTATAAGTCCTAAATATAAATGTTTACAATGCACAAGTCATTATTGTTTTATCTTACGCTATAATCTTTCGATTGTTTGTACTAACCAAGGTAATTACACCGAAAAACCAATTTAAAGCTGATTGATTATTCCAATAGTATTCATTTTTACATTGACGTTTCGATACAAACATTGTGGTGTTTAATTTCTGGTTGATTTAATCGGCTATTTTGTATATGGTTCTATCATAGATATCACCATAAGCAAGTCAACGCGGATCAGTCGTAGATTTCTGTTTCACTTTAATATCTATAATCATAATGTTCGGTGAATTGAGTTACAACAATTTAAAAAAAAAAAAAAAAACGAAAAATTCGCAATACATTTATTTCTTCGTTTAACAATATCTTAGCAAAAATCTACGCGGTTTACTCGAAAATAATTCTTTATATTTTGATTTTTTTTTTTTATGTTTATCTTTATGCCTATGACGAATTTTCCGGTAATAAAATGAAACGTACAAAATATATTATATAATTAATTAAATATAAAATCTATACATAAATATGCATACAAATATTATATAAATGTAATCGTGTAAATAAAATAATTCGTGTGAACTCAAATTAATATTTTGTGCATAATATTTGTAATTGCAATGTATTTCTTTGATATTGAGATAGTAATGGATTATTATTTTTTTTTTTTTTTTTTTTTTTTATACTATGTTCAACATTTCTGGTAGAATTGCTCGTTCGGACTATTTTAATCGAAACACACCCTTCGATTTGTTGTGCAAACTTTTCCACTAGAAACATTACTTAATAAAATAAAATATGGCCACCCCAAGAAAATTTCCATTAGTTACCTTGAACTACTGTTAAAGGTTCACTTTTTGTGTTTTTATAGAAGTACTAATTATTTTTCCATTATGAAAGAAATTATGTATAATAATTCCATGCATATCTATTACCTATGTACGCTTATAAAAAAAACAAAAGTTCATACATTAGACGGGCGTGCCACTGTTGTACGTGGGAACTCGGAAATGTAGGATACATAATAATTTATTTCATTTATACCTGTAAGCAACGATAAACCATTGTTAATGAAAAACTGTTTGGAGCAAAGTTCGGTTCTACATGCATTCACATTGGTATCAAATTTATACATGTTTTGAAAGCCCGGAATCTTCACGATTTTCGTCAAAATTTGATATAAAAATTCTTATAAAAGCAATTATTTAATACGTAAATTTTTTTTTTTTTTTTTTTACCACAAAGTACGGCTAACAATGAATCTCCCGTTTCAATTTTTAAGTATTTTGGTTTGCTCTAAAAATTTTGTTCACTAATTACCTACCAAATAATTATTATGTGAAAAACTCGCAAAATTAAAATATCCATTTTTACCTCAAATGTGTCTCAAATGTTTTAATAATATTATCACGATTAAAAAAAGCGAATATAAGTTTTCATTTTAGATTTCAAGTCTCAATGAATATTTTTAATTGAATTACATTAAAAAAAAAAAAAAATATTAAATGATAAAGCATTATGTTCGGGAAATTTCCGGTTTTTTCTAATTGTTCTGAAAGCCGTTTGAAAAATCAAAAAATTGCATCGAAATAACAATAACAACAACAACACTACATATTATTTTCTTTCAGAAAATTCGCTACAATCGTAAACCGCGTTGAGATTTCTGGTAGTAATTATGTACACGGCATAAAAAAAAAAAAACATAGTAAAACCAATATATTGAAATCAGTGGTAATTACACAATACGAAAATATATTTACGCATATTTATCATTAAAACGCTACAGCTTGCTGTACACATATTATAAAACGGTGTAAAATAAATTATAAATATCGATTATATTAATTGATTTACAACGTGTTTTGAAAGTTCTATTCGACCATTAAAATCAGTTTTTGTAAAACCACCGGTAGAATAGTTACGTTTGAGCTGTACAATTCAGTTTATTTATGATTTTCGCATTGGTTGTAATGCGGTTGCCGTCGGAGTGAACGATCTGTGCATGTTTTTTAAATTACACAGTATTAGTATGCCGCCTGTAAATAATAACGTTATTACAACCAACGTCAAGATCCAGATTCCAAGGTCGGAACGGAGGTCATTTTTTTTAGGGGTTCCGCGAAAGCCGTCGTCGCGAAGTGTGGAATGGGGGTCACGATGGTGAGGGGTGGACTGGTAATCGTCATCGTCGGGCGCGGTATGGCGATAGAACCGTTCGTCATTGTGAGTTACGGGATTGTTGAAGGTAGACCGGTATTCGTCACCGTGAGGCGTGGGACGGTGATGGCGGTAACCATTTTGAGTGGTAGGCGTGTAGTCGCCGTACGGAGGGGTGCGCTTCTCGTGCACGTGCGACACACTGCCGCCGACAGTGACCACGATGCCTAGCCGCGTAAGGTTCCGAAGCACGTCCGCCGGGCGAGGCGGAAAACACAACAAATCGATTCGGGACATCGTCACGTACTTACACGGCCTGTCCGCGGGGTTTCGCTGGAATCGCACGTCCAATTCATCGACAGTGAAACCGCGGCCCAGGCCGCGGCCGTTTATCTTCAACACCGCGAGACTATCGTTTCTAACGTTCAATTCGAAATCCGCGAATACCGGGTCGGGGTGTATTTCGATTTCGGGCAGACGTGTTTCGCGGAACCAGAACTCCGTTTGTTCGGCCGAGAATTTCGTTGACAATTCGACAATCAATTTGAGCGGGTGCGCCAATAGGGATTTTTCCCAGTCGAACTTCGGCAGCTGGCACCGCATGGACACTTGCGTTATTACGTGGCAACCGGGTCCGCACACACGGCCCGCGGTGTTGTACACGCACACGTAATACGTTGTGTGCGTACTGCGAAAATTTGACCCCGTCACCGTGATGTTTGTGCCGCCGGAAGCGATCCCCTCGAGTCGTTGCCCCGGCTCCAGTCTCGGGCCGTCCACGTATTCGAACGTTTTCGTTCCCGGACCGCGGTGGACGGAAAAGTACCGGCCGTCGAATTCCACTTCTATCAAACCGGCGGCGGCGACACGGCCCGGGCCCGTCGTGCACGTGATGACGTTCCCGGACCGCGGTCCGGTCAGCTCGCAGGCGGAAACGTTGCCAATGGACACCCGGGCGGCGGCGCCGGCGTCTAGGAATTCGCCGCTCACGGTCAACAGGGAACCGCCCTCCAGCGGGCCGTATGCCGGACGGACGTCTGTGACGGCGGGACGGACGAATTTGACGGTTTGCGGCGACGTCACGATCAAGGTTGGCGACGAACCGTACCTGACGACCGCCGGGCCTTCGACCTCGGGCTCGGACGGCGTGCCCGCGACGGTACAGACAATGGTTTCGTCGCCCTCCGTCTTCGGGCCGTTGCAGTTGCGGCCGGCCACGGTCACGACTACGGTTTGGTTTTCGGCCAGAACCCTGTGGTTGACTACGGCGATCGTCACTGTCGCGTCGCCCGCGATCGACGCGCGCAGCGGTTCGACCGCCCGGACCCTTATGACGTCCGGACACGCCACACGGACCGTCTGATTGGCGGCGGCGGACGGGACTCTTTTCCTGTAATCGTCGGCGTATTTCTTTTTGTAGTATTTATACGGGCCCGTGCACCGGTTGCGGCTCGAACACAATTTCAAATAGTGCATGTACTCGTTGTCGGTCCACAGGCACACCGCGCAGTCTGCGTCGGCCGCGTCGCCGCAGTCGTGATCGTAAACGGCGAAATAATAGTCGGCGCTGTTGTCGAACCTGAGCGTTACGTTGTTGAACGTTACGTAGAAATCGTACTGCAACGGTCTCTTGTTTTCCGTGAAGATGTCCAACGAGGCGTTCTTAACCGACCTACAGACGATTTTGTTTTTTTGCACCACCGCTCCGATGCATCTATCCAAACAGCAAATGATTTTCGTTTTGTTGATCATCGAAACGAAGCCTATCGTGTCGTTCAATATGTCCACTGCGTTGTAAAAGGGCACGTTCACGAACGCCGACTTCCTGACCGACGAGAAACGCGGACAGTGCGATTCGTCGCGCACCGTCAAACCGATCGTTTTCCGTTCGTTCGCCGACCGGTTCGCGCACGTCTGCCTTTCCATCGACCAATCGCACGGCTGTGCTGCGCATCTCGCGCACGTCCTCAACAGCGAGCAATCGACCGATCGCGGTTCCGACGAACCGTCACCCGTTGCACGGGAAAACATCTGTTATACAATAGTGTAACGTTCAAATTACCGTATTATTGCACCGTTATGATTAATCGGACGATTTTTATGGGTAAAGGGCTTGAGTGTTTGAGCATTGGCCATTTTCGGCTTATACCGCGATACGCGTCAACGTTGCGTACGGAATTTCAAACGGAATCGAGCGCGGAGCCACGCTGAAATTTAGCAGATTCGGTTTTTGTTTTTTTTTTTTTTTTTTGAATTAAAACAATATGTAATGCGTTTTGTTATTCGTTTCTAATGTAAACCAATAAATTCGGAGTGAGAACGCAATGATGTCATAATACCGGCTGGCGAATGTCTAAGTGATTTTAGATTCAGGCGGAGCGAGAAATAATAAGGTTTTAAAACGATGTTTGTATTACATTTATTTTTTTTCCGTCAACAACTTTTCTACTAGGAATTTTTTTCCGGTTTACAATGATAGCATTTTTTTTTGAAAAGAAATCTGACCGGGGAGAGATTTTTGGCCTTCGGGAGGTAATTTTTTTAAATTCCCAGGGGTTTTCTCAACCGTTTAAAAACACGGGAAATCCGGGAATAATGTAGGAAGAACGGAAAAATAGGTTCAATATTAAAAAAAATACGGTTGTATAAAATATTTAATGCATATGCAATTATCCTACCATAATATGACATATATACTGTTGACAAAGCCACACTATCAACTGCGAGCTCCGCTCAGAATCGTTTTTTGTTAGCAATGGTTAATCGTTGTGCACACATGTACATTGATTTCCCCTGCTACAACCTTCCCAACCACATTCCTATAACAGTGGCTGCGCCCGTCCCCATTATCCTAAGACAGCCTATTTTTTTTTATCTCTCCTATATAAAGTAAACTTTATTCACTTAAGCCCTTTAAAACCGTCTAATTATTTAGTTTAGTGTGTTACATTAAATACTGTAAAATATAATGCGAGAAAGTCAATTGAAATGTGGCGAAACGAATGCCCTCAGTCTCACCTTTGCCCCATATTAATCAATATAATAGTTATTACAGCGTTATGGTATTTTTTTTTTTTACAAAAACATCATAATGAATTATCCAGAATCGCCCATTTGAAGTTTATTTTGACCACGACATGCAATCGAAACATAAATTTATATCATGTTATTATAAAAATATAACAGGGTTACCGGTCATAAACCTTACACATTTGTAAAACAACCGTTGTGTCTACAATTACACATCTCTATGCTCATTTTTTCCCAAAAACAATAATAATAATCTATTCAATCTACAGTTGTTCTATTTAGATGCATATTTGTCTGTGTGCAATTATTTTAAGAAACCGGCAATTTTCCATTGGATGTAAATCTATGAAATGCTAAGTTTAAATTCAAATTCCATGCAAAATGACCACATTTTGCCGACCGTAAACTTTTAAACAAATTTTTTACAAAACCAATATTAAAAATAAACGCATGGTATCTGCACACAAAAACTGAATTACGATATGTTTTAATGTCGTGTTAGTTTTAATATACGAAGCGTATGTTTGCAATAATTATTCAAATGTTATTTGTGTACAGTAATTTTAAGTTTTTGCGTTATTTATCACATGAACTATTCCATGGCTGTAGGCAAAAACATATTCAACTGAGGGTTCCGTATCAAATTGCTGATTAGCATTATTGTCTTTCTCGTATTAGCGTTTATATTATATAGTATTTTTTTAAAAAAAATCTTAATGTGTGTATTCACGTACCATTAAAACCATGGCTATGCGTAAACACTGGTCGATCGAGAAGCGTTTAAAATACAACAGTTCATTATTACCGAAACCAACCATTTTGAATACCGTACGGTTCTATAAAAACAAACCTACAAATACAAAATATACATTTGAATATTGCATTATATTAAAATAAATAAAATACAAAAAGCTGGACAAAACATCAAACCTCGGGTAAGCCACTGCTGTAGGCAGCAAACAGAGAAAGTATACGATTCAGGATTATTCAGTTTATATAAATGTACCGAAAACGCAAGCGACGATGGATCATTGCAATCAAAAAAAAAAAAATACTGTGAATAATTTAATTAACTTGTCAGTTCTTAGATTCGGAACGTAGCAAGGGATCTATTGGTTTTACGTTATTATGTGTGTTGTTGAATGTTTTATTTTTAATTTTTTTGGTTGTGAACAACTTTTCTATCAGAAAACTTGCTCCAAAGAATAGATAGTAGAATCTTTTCTAAAAGGTTATTTTTTTTGCATGTTTTGATTTTCCAAGGATATTTTGAAATAATTTGGAAAAACACAAAAATTAAAAATTATTAATATTCACGGCAACGTAAAGTCCTGGTTTAATTATTTAGTATGTTTATATTATGTTTTCTACCAAAAAGTTACTCCAATCAATAAATTACTGGAGACCGATTTTGTTACTTTCAGCACGTGGTCACTGACAGAGAATGTCGTTTTTTTTTTTTAAATCTAAAGTATTTTTCATAATAATTATGAAAAACCAAAAAAGACGAAATATACGGTTTTTCTTCAAATAACGGCACAACGATTTCATTATTTTAAATTTGTAAAATTTGTATACGGCTTATGTTTTCTACCATAAATATTGCTCCGATAGATAAACGACAAGAGAGATTTTTTATTGCATTTTTAGTCTAGTTCATGAGTCAGTTATTCAGTTTTTGAATTTCTCTGTAGTTTTATTATAATTGGGAAAAACCGAAATATACGTAAAAGAAAAAAAAACTGAAAAGTTTACGAAAATATTTCTATTATTATTTTAAATTTTGTTTTTTCGTTGTAGTACAGGTTAAACTATTCGTAGAGACTGAAAATATTAACAGAAAACATATATTTACTTTTTATAGACTTGGTAAAATTGTCAGAATATGTGAGTGATTTTTGAGCTATTTATAGACATTTTAATTTTGCGTGAAAGGTAATTTTTTCTAGTTGACGCACCCAGGATGTCATTTTTTGATCTAGTTGCGCCTAAATATAGAGTGTTTTTTTTTAAAAAAAAAAAAAAAAAAAGAAAAAAGAAAAACGCCGTTCAAAATTAATTTTCCGTAGAAAAGTGTGGTTTTGACACTTTGGTCTTCAACAATACAACTGTCGGTTATGTAACGAAATTAATTCGCAATAATATTATTGTATATAACCACGAAATTAAGAATAACGCAAAACATGATATGACACTACTTAAGTACCGTTTTGGTACATTATACTATGATTATAATGTCGCTCGTGTTGCGATCGTAAACCTGATCGCTGGCGTGGTGATACTTTTAACGCGGACCGGTGATAATTATGTATACTGGAATTTCGCTTCATTTTTTTCCAGTCATGTACAAGAGGTACGGGAAGTGTGATAAACTGCATGCGCGAGTCAATAGCTCAGAGCTCTACTGAATCGGCCTGAGTTTCGAACTGTCGTTCTAAAACAGCGTTGTACAATATTATCGACATTTCCGGTAAATTACGTACCTATTGAAAGTGTTTTCTTTCCAAATAGGAATGCGCGTAGAACGTATCCGATAATATTATCGTGTAGTTATTGTGGGCGAACTTATTGTTGGTAATATGACCGCCCGACTGAACCCATTCTTCCTGGGACGTCTGAGCTCGTTGCAATTACAAACTCGACACGAAAAAAACCGCGACAGTTTGGTTGACATTTTTCCCGCCGACCGGCGACTACTAATCTGCTCATAGTATGTTTTTTTTTTAATTTAATTATTTTATCGCGCATTGAATAACATACAATATATAATATTAACGATGACGTCCTAGTTGTGGCGACAGAACGGAAACAAGCTTTTGTGGTGGCGAATGTGATATCCGAACATTACGGTTGTTATTATTTTATCGACGGACATGATAACGGAGGTTCGCGTTGTTCACATCCTCTTCCTCTATTTTACTTTTATACTAAATTTACGTTTTATCTCTATGCAGAAATTCCAAAACGGATACGGAACGAAAATATTGGCAATAAAATTTACAAATATGATGAACAATCTCACATTATTGAAATGAGGATTTTTATTATTGTTATACAATTTATTCGTTCGCTTTTTCGACGTATTATGTTTGTTTTGAATAGAATTAAATATTTTAAGTTTACGAGAAGTGTATTATCCAAAACTTAAATATTCAATTTTTACATTCGAAAAAATAAGAAAATTAAGTATTTTGTGCGTGTAGTTGAACAATACAATTGATCATGAGTGATTATATCTTTGTTACTATTTAATAATATTTATATACGTAACTATAGTAGGTACGCTGAAATAATATACTTTTACACTTTATACCGATGTAGGTCTGTAGGTGTTACTGGTTTGCGATGTTGTTTAAAAATAATTTTATCTGAATGGGTACACGACAGTGTATATTTTTGATGGGTGTGGTAATTAAATAAAAGATTTGAAACTACTTCTGGTGTGTGATGTATTTTGTGCGCGAGAAGCTAGGAAAGTAGGATACAAAGGGAAATTAAATGTATATCAACAAAAAACGATCCTGAACGGCGTTCATTAATGTATGTACAAAATGTTATAAAAGGTTGTAATATTTACCATTTTCGTCAAGATTTGCTATTCAAATCCTTATAAAAAAATATGTATGCTATATTATATTCAAATTTTTCTAACTCACCAGTAATTACAATTTATAAAAAACCCCCTGTTAAATTTTCAAGAATTTCTGTATGATCTAACACTTATCAACAGAGTACTTACCGAATAAAAATTACGGAAAAAACTCGACAAATTAACATGTCTATTAAATGGTCCGAAAATGGCTTAAATGTTTCGAAAATTTGAAAATGAAAAAATTTTAGAAAAGGCAAATATAAGTTTTTTGTCCAAATTCAGTTCTCTTCCAATGTTTCCAAATGAATTACAACAAAAAAAAAACAAAATTGCAAATAAAAAAAGCATTCTTTTTGTATTTTATATATATTTACAGAGTTTTCTCAATCATAAAAAAACTACAAAAAAAAAAAAAAATTGAAAAACAACTTTCTTTGTCCCCAACCAGATTAAAAATTCAACAAAAATGATAACTCGTAATTTTTTTTATCGAAGCAATATTTCCAGTAGAAAACGTAGAGCGTAAACGTTTAAAATAATGAAATCATAACGCTGTAAATTTGTTAGTTTTCATTTTTCATTTTCCCAATTATAACAAAAAATACCAGAAAATTAAAGAAATGTTTACGGTAGAAAATTTAAACCGTAAACATTTATAAATAAAGAAATCGTTGCATCACATCGTTTTTTCTCAAGTATTTTTAATATCAAAAACCAATATTCTTTGTCAGTGGCTTTACATTAAAATGAATAATATCGATATCTGGTAATTTTTTGATTTGAGTAATGTTTCTGGTAGAAAACTTAAGTTGCAAAAATTAAAAACAATGAAAACAGCGACGTCACAGCGCTTCGTAAATATTTGCCTTTTTACCAATATTTTTCCCTTATAATATATAATAAAGTTATAATTATTTCGAAAACTTGGCCACTTTAATGCACCAATAAGACAAAATTACCTTTCAGAAAAGTTACTATACCCTACACATCTGAATAAACACAAACAAAAGATCCCTCGCTAAACGTTCCGAGTCTAAAACGCATTATAGTAAAATCAATATATTCCCCGTTACGCTCAAAATCTAATATTACTACGCAAACAACGAACAGTCTGTTACACAAGTTTATCGGAAAAACGTAAATTCCGTTCATAGTTTTAGTGCAGTTACGTACAACAGTAATAGATAATAACATTATGATTAATAGATGACAGGTTATTGGATGATAATATAATGGGTTTACTCACTTCAGGTTGTTTTGTATTTTAATTCACAGTTTGTTTTTTTAAGATTGTGTAACGTATAATGTAATAACACGCAATTTAATTTTTTTTTCCCACGGCTGCTGAAGACATTATCATAAAAAAATGCTCACTCCTATTTCGTTAAACACTGATCATTGCTATTAAACTAAATATTAATCGAATTGACAGCATTAGTTCATTTGTTTCAATGTCCAATGTTATCGAATGTTTTATCGCGCTGTTTCCCCTACCATAATATTTCGTTTTAGATATTGAGTTGACAACAACAAAACAATGACGGACATACTTCGCACGAGAGCGGGCCACTGTTGTAGGTGAGAAGTTGGGAAGGTAGAGGAGAAATTCGATGTATATCTGCACACAACGAATAACCATTGCTAACGAAAAAACGATTCTGAACGGAGTTCGAGTAATAGTGTTGCTTTGTCAACAATATATTTATATATATATATATAATATTATGGTAAAATTATTACAAGGTGCGTTTCCATGACAACAATGATTGTTTAAAAAGATTAAAAACTTAATAACAACAAAAAATAAATAAAAACGATTGCCAATAACAACCTTATTTTTAATCTTTCAATCTTTTTTAACCTAAAAAAATCAGGTTTTCCTCATTATCTCGAATATTAATGACAATTTCAAAAAATGATTTCTTTCAAGTACCACCCTGAGAATATTCCCTTTTAGAAAAGGTGCTATACTTGATACTTGATAGTCGAAGTAAGCTTTCTGGTGTTTAAAGTGAAAAGTGTTTACATAAAAAAAAAACTAAATATCATTGAAAAACCAATACATTGAAATCAATAATAATTACAAATAATAAAATAGTAAAATAAAAACAAAATTATTAAAATGGTTAATACTTGTTGATAAATATGTAAATAAAAAATGTGTACATGGAATTAAAAATAAAAAAATGAATGAATAAATCACCTGGAGTATTATGTTAAGTGTAT